GCTGGGCCTCTGCCAGGGGGTGCTTCCGACTCACAGCAGAGACTCGACCATGGAGATATGTTGCGGGCTCAGAGTCACTTGGCCTCCGGGAGTACCCGACCATGGACACCATGATAGCTGCCATGGTCCTCCTGGACCGGGAGATTATAGGACGGAACCCGCGACTTAAGCTGGGACCCCCCAGAGTCTTTGATGCGAACTTGAAAGACACATATGGGTCCCTCTGCTCTCTTGGCCGTGTTGCCATCCTGCTGCAGGCCTACCTGCAGACTCTGTTGACCCGGCTGCAGGAGGGCACAGAGGAGCTCCTCCAGGAAGCAATGGAGGTGTCTCGCCTGCTTTCCCTGCTCCAGACGGACGGGCCATAGCGCCGGCGCCATCTCTGGCTGGCCCAATCCCGTCTGCCAGCTGCTCTCCAGAGCACATTTGCCACTCTCCCCATCACCCCAGGGCTGACATTTGGCCCAGGGGTTGATGACATTCTGGAGCAGACCGATAAGGTTCGTAGGGACCGGGAGACCCTGAGACGGTTCATGCAGCATCCTCAGGCCCCGGGTCCAAGGCAGATGGACCCACCTGCACCAGAAAAACGTGGGGGTCCCTCACCTTCCCCATCACCTCATGCTGAGGGACGACAGTGGGGAGGGGCACAGCGTGCGGTGAAGCAACAACCTGTCAACTCTCACCGCCATAGGGACGTGCCTGGGGGACCCAGGCGCTCGGGGCGCCAGAAGATAGGCGGGCCCCGGCAGGACCCCTGACAAACCCTTCCCCAACCTCCTTCTCCTGGTCTCAAAGGGCTAAGTGGGAGGAGGGTGTTGTCCATAGTACTCGAGGGGTACTGACTCCAATTCCGGTGCCGTCCCCCGTCCTTCAGGGACCTTCGTGTCACCACGGTGGCCGACCCCCTGAAGAAGAAAACCCTGCGGCTGGAGATCTCCTCACTCCCATCAGAATGGCTAGGTGGGTTCTACTCCACTTATTTTGTGGTCCCAAAAAGAGACTGAGGGTTTCAACCGATTCTGGACCTCCGCAACCTCAATGGGTACTTGAGGTTCCACATGCTGTCCCCAGCCCACGTGTTGCAGGCCATGTCCAAGGACCAGTGGTTTGTGACGCTGGACTTGAGGGATGCGTACTTCCATGTTCCTGTTCACCCAGCTCATTGGCAGTACCTCCGATTCGCTTTCGAAGGGATGGCTTACGAATTCATGGTTTTTCCCTTCGGCCTCTCCTTGGCACCCCACACTTTCACAAAGTGCATGGACGCTGTCCTGGCACCTCTCACGTCCCGAGGATTATTGATCCTCAATTACCTGGACGATTGGCTGATTTGTGCCCCGACCAAGACCCAGGTCCTGCCAGATAGAGACAAGCTCCATACCCACATCAGCGGGCTGGGCATTGTTGTAAACGACAAGAAGAGTCGTCTGACGCCCACCCAGAGGGTGGCCTTCATTGGCATGGAACTGGACTCAGTCCTCATGAAGGGTTCAGGCGATCTTATCTTGCCTCGACCACTTTCGGCAGGGGCGGGTGGTATCCACCCTGACCTGCCAATGCCTGTTGGGCTTGCTGACGGCGGCCTCGTTGTTGATTCCCCTGGACCTGCTCCATCTCCGGCCTCTTCAACGGTGGTTCAACTCCCACCGGCTGCACCCGAAGAGCCACCGTCACCGCCAGCTGCGGGTGACCGCACAGTGCCTCGGGGCATTGTTGAGGTGGTGCTATCGCTCCTTCCTCTCAGGTGGGGTAGAGATGCTGAGGATGTGCCGCCGGGAGCTGGTCAGCACAGACGCCTTCCACATCTGAAGGGAAGACATGTCCTGGTGAGAATGGAAAACACCACAGTGGTGGCTTACATCAACCATCAGGGTGGACTGAGGTCCAACCGTCTCCATCTTATGGCACGGGAGCTCCTTCTCTGGGCTCAGGGACGTCTAGCGTCTCTACGCGCAGTGCACGTACCCAGCATCCTGAATGTGGCAGCGGAGCCTACATTCCCAGGTGGTGCCGCACCTGTGGGACAAGTTCGGGAGGGTGCAGGTGGACCTGTTTGCCTCCCTGGGCAATAAACACTGCCCCCTGTGGTACTCCATGTTGGAGCCATGGAGCTTGGATGCTCTGGCTCAAGATTGGCCAGGGCTGGAGCTTTACGCATTCCCCCCACCAGGATGGCGGAGCGTCGTCTGCTGCTGGTGGCCCCATACTGGCCCAGACGACCCTGGTTCCGCCTTCTCCTGTCCCTGTTGTCTGGGACACCTTGGCAACTGCCACTGAGACCTGAACTGCTGTCTCAGGCCGGGGGTAACTCTGTGGCATCCGAGACCGCACCGCCTCAGTCTGTGGGCTTGGCCGCTGAACAGCACCAATGGTCCATGTTAGGACTACAGGAGGGCGTAATGAACACCACGCAGAGCGCAAGGGCACCGGCTACAACCGCGGCATACCAGTTGCGCTGGTGGTTGTTCTGCTCTTGGTGCACTGGTATTGAGGTTGTGCCCGAGTCATGCGTGGTGCAGTATGTCCTCCAATACCTGCAGTCTCGCTTGGATGAGGGCTTGGCAGCCTCTACACTGAGAGGGTATTTGGCTGCTATATCTGCCTGCCATGTGGGGTGGATGGACAGGCCAGTGGGGCGCCATTCCCTTGGTCTCCAGGTTTATGAAGGGGGTTTGTCGCCTGCATCCAGCTAGGACCCACTCAATGGCGAGCTGGGATCTGGATGTGGTCTTGGCAGCTTTGGCAAAGCCGTCTTTTGAACCGTTGGAGTCTGCCTCCCTGAAACACCTCTATATGAAGGTGGTTTTCTTGGTAGCGATTACTTTAATGAAGAGGGTGGGTGAGCTCCATGCTTTTTCAGTAATTTCTGAGTGCTACCGGATGGACCCCGGTGGGAGGAGTATATCTCTCCGCCCCAACCCTTCATTCCTCCCGAAGGTTCTGTCAGACAGGCATGTGAACATCCCTTTTATCCTGTCTGCTTACAACCCCCCGGCAGTGGCATGGGAGTCTGGGCCTCCCGCTGGCATGCTGTGCCCTGTGCGGGCACTGGCTGCCTATGTGGAGCGGACATGGTCAGTGAGAACAACAGACCAGCTCTTTGTCTGCTATGGTGAGAGAGTCCTGGGGGCTGGGCTATCAAAGCAGAGGCTCTCTCACTGGATTGTGGACATGATTATGACAGCATACCGCCTGGCTGGGAGGCCAGTGCTGGGTTCTGTGGTGGCACATTCAACACAAGGTGTGGCTGCATCCTGGGCTCTACTGAGAGGAGTGCCCCTCGCTGATATCTGTGCTGCGGCCAGCTGGGCTTCCTCTTGCACCTTTGCTAGGTACTATCGGGTAAATGTGGCACCTCCCTTTGCGGTTGGTTCAGCGGTCCTGGGCATCGCCACCCCTACCGGGGACTATGCCAGGACACCCCTTCCACATTGACGGCCCCTGCGTCTCGGTTCCGCACTGGGACTTCACCGCTGGCTGGCCAGGTCCCTCTAGCACCGACTAAATCTGGTACGGGTATACCAATATATTGGAGTGATCCAATATAGTGAAACATTACGAAGGTTACGTATGTAACCACGGTTATGTGAGCTATATGGATCACTCCAGTCCTCTACGTTGCTAGAGGCGCCTCAAAAATGATGTAGAGAACGTGTGTCGCGGCCATGGGGTCTATATATAGGGGCGGACCCCAGCCGTGACACAGGTGTACACGGGAGTAAATCTGTAAATCCTCACCTCGGATGTATCCCTCCGCCGTGGAGTGATACCAATATATTGGAGTGATCCATATAGCTCACATAACCGTGGCAGTGTTGCCAACTTAGCGACTTTGTCGCTATATTTAGCGAGTATTCAGACACCTCTAGCGACACATTTTCAAAAAATCGACTAGCAACAAATCTAGCGACTTTTTCTGGTGTTATTGGAGACTTTTGGAGACTCTGACGTGAAAGCACATATCGTTCTTACTCTTCTCAACGAGCAGCGGGTGCTGCCGTGGGCCCCACCCTGGGCCCCACCCCCGTCCCAAAGCACTCACAGGCGGCCCAGTCCTCGCGCAGCAGTCCCTCCCAGCTGCAGTCAGAGCAGGAGATGTTCACCCCTCGGCGTCCAGACTGCAAATGAATCGCGCATGCGGGAAGCCGCCGCTGGCTGATCCCGCCCTGGCTTACATTCAGGGCGGGATGTAAATGTAAAACATTTTAAAAAACAAGAATCGACAGAAGAAAGGTCATTTGTAGTTCTAAACATATTTAGGGTGTTTTTTTACTCACTTTTTGTCTCTCCCACAACATTATTCCTCTTTCCTACAGCGTCCATCATAATTACATGCACATGGCCAATTATGCAAATTAGGTGATGACGTCATTTAGCGACTTCTAGCGACTTTTAGGACAGCCAATAGCTACTTTCCTTACTGAGGAGTTGGCAACACTGAAACGTGGTTACATACGGTAACCTTCGTTTTATTGATCTGTCGTCAGTGTCAGTAGAGTAGGCTTAGGCTACCATCGTATTAAAAAAGATTCTGCTAATTTCTCCAGTCATATATCGTGTAGTAGAATTGCATGAAATGTTTATCAAAGCCCTATACATTTTTTGTCCACTCTGTTCATAACAGATTTTAGTTTTGGGAACATAAAACGGTATTGAGATCAAATGTTTCATGAATGTCGGCCAAAGCCAGTGGTCTTCCAATTCAATTTTCAATTAAGGGGCTTTATTGGCATGGGAAACATATGTTTACATTGCAAAAGCAAGTGAAATGGATAAACAAACGTGAAATAAATAATACAAAGTGAACAGTAAATATTACACTAACACAAGTTCCAAAAGAATAAAGACATTTCAAATGTCATATTTGGTAGTGAGTTTTAACGTCAAGCGGATGCTTCACATTTTATACATCCAGTGACATATCTGTCTCACTGATCTATCCGTGGCGTACGTGATCCCGGAAGTACCGCCAAGCACGCATCATTCTTCAAAAGGACAGGGAAGGTTGCCGGAGAGAGTAGAGAGGGCAGACACTCAGCAGAGAAAGGTGAGATAATAATATGACTATGTAGCAAGCTAGCTAACTAAAGATAACACCAGAGTTTTATCCAACAGTCGCTTTTTTTTTCTACTGATAAGCTGTAGATAGCAAAGATCGCTGAGCTAACATAGATATAGCTGCGATGCAACCAATAAGGTTTTTACATTGTGCTGAACTGTAAAACTCTTGCTTACATCGAAACTATCTTAGCTAGCTACTGTATCTGTGTGTCTGGAACGTGAACTAGTTAAAGTTAACTAACGCTAGCTAGCTAACTGCTAACATTTTATGGATATAAATCCCTTTCAAGTTGTCAATGATAATCATGAAAATAAAAAATATGGCTAGCTATCTATGCTATGGTAGCCACGTGAGCCAGGCCTGTCAGTCAATACGATGTCCTTGCCATAGACGTCTTAAACCGTCTCTGCCTCTAATCAAACTAGGTACTTATTTTAGCTAACTCCTAATATAGTATTTCAATCTACACTGTTATCACTGTTAAACTGTAGTTTGGTCGTAAATTGGTGGTCCTCTGTAGGTCAATTGGTAGAGCATGGCGCTTGTAACGCCAGGGTAGTGGGTTCGATCCCCGGGACCACCCATAAGTAAAAATGAATGCACACATGACTGTAAGTCGCTTTGGATAAAAGCGTCTGCTAAATGGCATATTATATTATTATAAGTCTCTAAGGACATCTGGCAGATGGATCTTATAACTATGGCTTCCTCTATGTGCACAGTCATTGACGATCAGGAAGTGACAGCTCTGACCTTGATGGTATGGGTAGGGATGTCAAAGCCATACTATAAATGATCTCAGCGGATGGGTACTGCTAGCTTGTTAGCAACCATATGAAATATCATATGCCATGGGAGAGACAGCTCAATATCATTATTATTAGCTAACTAGGTAACATAATCTGGTCTAGCTGGACATGATGATGATGAAGAAGATGGGGATTACTGTGTCTTAACTCTTCATTATTCAAGAAGGTGCGTGTGTGTTTTTGGTATAGGGCTCCTGGTTCTCTAGAGCCTCTTATCCCTGAGCCTACTAGGTGAAGAAGAATGTGTAGATGTGCCCTTGAGCAAGGCACTTAACCCCAATTGCTCCTGTAAATTGCTCTGGATAAGAAAGTCTGCTAAATGACTAAAATGTGAAACATTTTTAGTCTGTCAGGGGGATATACTTGTGATGCTGACATGGTGTGTGTGGGGGTGTAGAACTGTTTCTAAGGGGTGTGTGTTCTCCTGCCAACCACAAGGAAACGGCGGGAGAACTGATGTATAATTTCCTGGTTCTCACTTGGCTACGCCCCCCTCAGAAGCAGATTAGAGAAGAATAATTTTCAGTTGATGGTGTGAGTTTCTTAGCCTTGCCCTTGCCCCAGATCTGTTTGATGCTGTGACTATGAGTTTCTCACTTAGTTTTGTTATTTGTGTGTGTGTGTTGGCTCCAGTGTGAGAGAAGGCCAAGGTCCAGACTACTGTTGAGACTTAGCAAGGTTAGGGAGGGATATCATTGGAGAGAGGGGACGGGATAGAGAGGTTTGTCTCTGTGTGTGATCATTTCTTATGTTGAGTCACCTGGTGTCAGTTGGTTGCATAAGTATTTCTGTGTCAGTTTGTGGCTTTGATTGTAACTTCCTGCCTGAAGCAACCTGAGCTTGACACATACATGCCACACAGACACACCTAAACTCTGTATTTATTTACAGTACAAAATATTCCTGGGCCTGATGGTGTAGCTCAGGTATAGAGAATGGCTGTTCTGTTTTGTTTTTACAGTACAGCCCTCTTCTCCATGAATGGTTTATTAATTCCCTCCACCTTGAAGTGTGAAACATGATGGAAATTCTGTCATGCCCATGATGCTTACACCAATCCAGTGACTTTAAGTCCATGAGGGGGAGTGAAGAGGTGCAGACTAGAGCTCTTCACAGATCCACCTGTACTCGAATACCCGAGACCCGATCCGGGACTCAAGTGGGTCTGGATCCAGAATTCTAAATAATGTTGCGGGTCTGGGTTGGATCTGATATGATTGTCATATATCTCGGGTATATGCAATTTTAACTGACTTGTCAAGAAGGGCCCATACTGATCCGAACTGGACTGCTGCAGTAGAGCGAGAGAGCGGGAGAGATGAGTTTGAAACTTTAAGCTAGTGCTCTTGCTTTTCACGAGAGTGGAGCATGTAGCTTGTTGTGGGCCAATCATGAGTTATCAAATTGGTAATAGGCTGTAATCATAGAGCCTCGCTCCATGTGTGTCAAAAGTAAGGAGATATCTAATCAATGGAAGATGGAATTAAAATGACATAATTAAAAGGAGAAGGATAGGCTACAATGACCAAGAGCCAATAGATAGGCTGCTACTTACTATTCTGAATGGAGTTGTTGTTATTTGTAACTGTAGGATTAGAAAGCGCATGCGCACTGTAGCCTCAGTTAGCCTAGCTAGCTAACATTAGCTACCTTAACTAGCTTCTCCCAGTTTGATGCAGTGAAGACAAGTACTAAGTAATCATTTATTTTTTATATTTTTTTACATTTTTAATAGACGGTCTTATCCAGACCGACTTACAGTTAGTGAATGCATACATTATACATTCTGGCCCCCCAGATGCTAAAAACCTAGCTACGGCAGCTATTAGTCTACTATAGCCCCTCCCCGCCTGCTAGAGCGGCACGTCTCTCCCTCCGCTTTATCAGTTCTGGTTAATAAAGTAGCTTATAAAATGACTTTTCTGCTGCTTCCCTCACTCTGATCGGGTCTATACGGAACGGTTCTAGTTGTCCATTTGGAACGGGTCTCTATTTTTTATTTATGCATATCGTGTCCGGGTGGGAAAGCCCCAGGTCCAACTTTATTTTTGGACCTGTGAACACCTCTAGTGCAGACTTCAGGGAGAAGAGAGAGAAACGGAATGAGGATATAAGCTTTCCTCTCTCTCTTTCTTTCAATGCCCTTCTCACCCTCTGTCTTCTACATCCCTGTCTTTGCTTCTCTCCAGATTCACCATGGCAGCAACTATTAATCAAGCCAGGTCGGGGCTTTTCAAAATGGTAAGCGTCTCTCAAACACACAAACAATTTGCCTCAGACCCCCACAAACACATAAAATCTCTTTCTCTCCCCCTCTTTGTTTCGTGTGTGTGTAGTTTAAGAGTGAGCGGTACAGCAGCTTCACTCTGCAGTCAGATGGAGAGAGAGACGGAGGGAGCCACTTGGAGGTGAAGCTGTCTGATGTCATAGATGACCACGCCCCCTCTGAGCAGGCGAGCCAACCAGGGGGCTCGCACTCCTACAGGCCCCGCCCCCAGCGGAACTACTGCAAAGTGTGTTACCTGGCCCTTGGAACCCTCTTCATCTTCATCATCGGTACATACTCTTCCTCACTCTCTCTCTTATGTCTTTGTCCCAGGTGAACTGGGTGACACAAAACTTGCCTTCTCTCTAACCAATTCCTGCCTCCTCTCTGTTTCAGGTTATCTGATTGGCTATGTGAGCCACCGTTCTCCTCGCCAGGAGCCAATCCCTTGTGATTCTGAGCAGGAAGTAAGCGTGGCTGAGATGGCTGTAGTAGATTCCGCTCTATCCTGGACCGACATCACCAGCATGCTGGCACAGAAACTGACTCCTGACGCCTTCAACAGCAGACTGAGGTACACACACACACACACACACACACACACAGCTGAAAAGACTAATTAACTAAACTGTCCTCTGTCGCTCTCTGTCTGTCTGTCGCTCTCTCTCTCTCTCTCTTTGTGTCTCTCTCTCTCTCTTTGTGTCTCTCTCGCTCTCTCTGTGCAGTGATGTTGAACAGCCAGATCACGCGGCAGGGAGCATTGCAGACAACACATTGGGAGAACATGTGTTTAAAAGCTTTAAGAATCTGGAGATGGAGCCCTGGACTGACATACACTATGTCCAACTACAGACACTCAACAGGTACTCACACACACATACTCTGTCTCGTACACACACACATAATTCCACTTTGCTTCTAACGGTCTCTCCTCCAATCCCCTTTCCCCACAGTGAGAAGCCAAACCGTGTACTGATTGGCCAAGAGGAGTTGTGCCAGCCTAAGGGCTATCTGGCCTATAGCGCCACAGGAAAAGTGAAGGTCAGCCAATCAATGTCCACATTGACTGATTATCTTTTTGATATTTTGGGCCAATATAATCTGTTACGGTTAAATGCTTGGAAAGGGACATGTTTTTAACATATCATGTTTGTAACATATTTTCTGCCACATTGGATGTTTGCAATCACAGTTGTTGCCTGAATCTCACAAGGATGAATTGTTTTGTGTGTGCAGGGCAAGGCAGTGTATGGTAACTATGGGAGACAGGAGGACTTGATGCTGCTGCTACGGACTCTGAAGGTTGAGCTGAACGGCACCGTGATTCTACTGAGAGCTACAGGACAGATCAGCCTGGCACAGCAGGTGTGGTGTGTGTGTATGTGATAGAATATGTAACAGTGGATTTTGGTGTACTTACGTGTGTTTGTGTTTCAGGTGGCTAATGTAGCCGCATTGGGAGTATCTGCTGTGTTGATTTACCCCGACACTAAAGACTACAAGTTACAAACTACTGAACGATACGGACATGTGAGTACACACACAAACACACACACACACCACTACAGGGTGAATCTTATGTAGTGGTGATTACCGAGGCTGATCCAGAGGTACTGCTTCAACTGCAACCCTTTGAAGTTATATCTGGTGTTCTAGCTCTGATTCTGTGACGTTCTCCTGTAGGTCCATCTAGGTTCTGGAGACCCCTATACTCCTGGGTTCCCCTCCTTCAACCACACCCAGTTCCCTCCCACCCAGTCCTCTGGTCTGCCCAATGTACTGGCCCAAAGCATTACTGCTGCCACTGCTGCCAAGATACTAACGTAAGACCTCACACTCACAGACACACAGACACACAGACACACTCATGCCTAACTGTGTGTCTCTCTCCCCAGACGTATAGGTGGGCCTGAGGCTCCTCACAGTTTTATAGGCGAACTGGACAATGTGAAGTACACCCTGGGAGGGGCCAGTAGTGATGATGTCACAGTGGAGGTGAACAACGTGTTGCAGGACACAGAGATCCACAACGTCTTTGGAGTCATCAAGGGCTTCACTGAGCCAGGTACGTGTGTGACCCCAGCAGGAAAACGAGCCTAGGACCCTGGCGTTGCTAACACCGTGCTCTTTCCAACCGAGGCACGCAGACCACTCCAAAAGACTATCTATGAACGCTTCATTTTTAGGAGCAATGTTTCATCGCTATGCATGGTGTTTGTGTTAGTGAGTGAGTTTTGTGTTAATTTTATTGTATGTAGATCGATACGTGGTACTGGGGGCTCAGAGGGATGCGTGGGGTCCAGGCTACGCTAAAGCTACTGTCGGGACCACACTGCTGCTGGAGCTGGCTAGAGCTGTGTCTGAGATGGTACACACAGGTAACACACATGTCAATACGTTAACACATACACATCAATACATTAACACATACACACACACACACACACATCAATACACACATCAATGCATACACACACACATCAATGCATACACACACACACACACACACACATCAATGCATTACCACACACACATCAATACTATGGAACGCCGTTTGGGTCTTTGTGTGTCAAAAAAGATACGTCAAATAACACTATTTGACGCGTCAAATAACTAAATCCTATTATAGAATGTTGTGCGTGCTGAATTTGCACGTGCTAGCCAAGCACCACCACTATGATCAGTAGCACTGTCAAAGCTGTACAAAAAAAACAAGTCTGCAAACAAGCACACACACCGGCCATGATGCGTTTACAATACTGCGTTGGTAATATGGCATTATTTGTTCGACCGAATGGGAAAACGTCTGTGTGAGCATTTGAAATAAGATCAGTATCAAAACAATTTGCAAATATCTTTGATACAGATGTTTTTAGAAACATCTGGGGTAGCTAGCTAGCTTTGGTATGGTACCATCCTAGCTAGCACCAATGCAACCAGCCTGAAAACAATGACCAGTAGAAACTGCAGTCATTTTCAATATTCTTAGCAATGATTTAGGGATCCATGTGAGTAAGTATTAACCCTGTTGCCCAACGCTAACGTTATAAGCAGCCTGCTAGCTTCAGGGAGGCTTGACCGGACTGGGTTATTTGTTGAGAAGCTAGCCACAATGAGGATTAGCCACAATAGTGGAATTTGCGGTTCGCCTTCAAAATAAAGGTCCCTCTTTGAAAGTGACGCAAATTGTTATAAAATCAAATTGTATTGGTCACATACCCATGTTATTGCGGGTGTAGCGAAATGCTTGTGTTTCTACAATTGGTGGAATCATGCCATATTTAGACTAGATAATGTTAAACAAGGTTGGAATGTGGAGCAATGAAATGGGGTATCAGTCTACTCGGTGACACCCACAGAACACAACTGTGAATAGTTTACGCAAATATTAGCATCGTAGCTCTTATTGCAGGACTTTGGCTGTGGGAAATCACCTCACCAGTGAGCCTATGGTGCGTATTGACATTCATATTGCCCTGTACAGCCTTACCTAAGGATTTGGGATCAATGAAATGGGGTATCAGTCTATTCAGTACCCAAGTGCTTTTTACCCAAAGTCCTAAAGTCCTCCTCGGTTATCAGACTGCAAAACATCCACGTTGTATTGTTTTTCCTCTGGAATAGTGTTCAATACACACAGCTGCCTTGAGATCATTGACAAGATCCTCCCGTGTAGTTCTGGGCTGATTCCTCACCGTTCTCATGATCATTGCAACTCCACGAGGTGAGATCTTGCATGGAGCCCCAGGCCGAGGGAGATTGACAGTTATTTTGCGTTTCTTCCATTTGCGAAAAATCGCACCAACTGTTGTCACCTTCTCACGAAGCTGCTTGGCGATGGTCTTGTAGCCCATTCCAGCCTTGTGTAGGTCTACAATCTTGTCCCTGACATCCTTGGAGAGCTCTTTGGTCTTGGCCATGGTGGAGAGTTTGGAATCTGATTGATTGATTGCTTCTGTGGACAGGTGTCTTTTATACAGGTAACAAACTGAGATTAGGAGCACTCCCTTTTAAGAGTGTGCTCCTAATCTCAGCTCGTTACCTGTATAAAAGACACCTGGGAGCCAGAAATCTTTTTGATTGTCGTTACCTGTATAAAAGACACCTGGGAGCCAGAAATCTTTTTGATTGAGAGGGGGTCAAATACTTATTTCCCTCATTAAAATGCAAATCAATTTCTAACATTTTTGACATGCGTTTTTCTAGATTTTGTTGTTGTTATTCTGTCTCTCACTGTTCAAATAAACCTACCATTAAAATTATAAACTGATCATTTCTTTGTCAGTGGGCAAACGTAGAAAATCAACAGGGGATCAAATACTTTTTTCCCTCGCTGTATGTACAGTGGGGGAAAAAAGTATTTAGTCAGCCACCAATTGTGCAAGTTCTCCCACTTAAAAAGATGAGAGAGGCCTGTAATTTTCATCATAGGTACATAATATAATAAATAATATAATATATAATAATAATGTCAACTATGACAGACAAAATGAGGGAAAAAAATCCAGAAAATCACATTGTAGGATTTTTAATGAATTTATTTGCAAATTATGGTAGAAAATAAGTATTTGGTCAATAACAAAAGTTTCTCAATACTTTGTTATATATCCTTTGTTGGCAATGACACAGGTCAAACGTTTTCTGTAAGTCTTCACAAGGTTTTCACACACTGTTGCTGGTATTTTGGCCCATTCCTCCATGCAGATCTCATCTAGAGCAGTGATGTTTTGGGGCTGTCGCTGGGCAACACAGACTTTCAATTCCCTCCAGATTTTCTATGGGGTTGAGATCTGGAGACTGGCTAGGCCACTCCAGGACCTTGAAATGCTTCTTACGAAGCCACTCCTTCATTGCCCGGGCGGTGTGTTTGGGATCATTGTCATGCTGAAAGACCCAGCCACGTTTCATCTTCAATGCCCTTGCTGATGGAAGGAGGTTTTCACTCAAAATCTCACGATACATGGCCCCATTCATTCTTTCCTTTACACGGATCAGTCGTCCTGGTCCCTTTGCAGAAAAACAGCCCCAAAGCATGATGTTTCCACCCCCATGCTTCACAGTAGGTATGGTGTTCTTTGGATGCAACTCAGCATTCTTTGTCCTCCAAACACGACGGGTTGGGTTTTTACCAAAAAGTTATATTTTGGTTTCATCTGACCATATGACATTCTCCCAATCCTCTTCTGGATCATCCAAATGCACTCTAGCAAACTTCAGACGGGCCTGGACATGTACTGGCTTAAGCAGGGGGACACGTCTGGCACTGCAGGATTTGAGTCCCTGGCGGCGTAGTGTGTTACTGATGGTAGGCTTTGTTACTTTGGTCCCAGCTCTCTGCAGGTCATTCACTAGGTCCCCCCGTGTGGTTCTGGGATTTTTGCTCACCGTTCTTGTGATCATTTTGACCCCACGGGGTGAGATCTTGCGTGGAGCCCCAGATCGAGGGAGATTATCAGTGGTCTTGTATGTCTTCCATTTCCTATTAATTGCTCCCACAGTTGATTTCTTCAAACCAAGCTGCTTACCCATTGCAGATTCAGTCTTCCCAGCCTGGTTTGGAGTGTGACTGTTTGAGGTTGTGGACAGGTGTCTTTTATACTGATAACAAGTTCAAACAGGTGCCATTTAATACAGGTAACGAGTGGAGGACAGAGGAGCCTCTTAAAGAAGAAGTTACAGGTCTGTGAGAGCCAGAAATCTTGCTTGTTTGTAGGTGACCAAATACTTATTTTCCACCATAATTTGCAAATAAATTCATAAAAAATCCTACAATGTGATTTTCTGGAAAAAAAAATCTCAATTTGTCTGTCAAAGTTGACGTACCTATGATGAAAATTACAGGCCTCTCTCATCTTTTTAAGTGGGAGAACTTGCACAATTGGTGGCTGACTAAATCCTTTTTTCCCCACTGTATGTATGTATGTATGTATGTATACTGAGATCATGTGACACTTAGATTGCACACAGGTGGACTTTATTTAACTAATTATGTGACTTCTGAAAGTAATTGGTTGCACCAGATCTTATTTAGGGGCTTCATAGCAAAGGGGTGAATACATATGCACGCACCACTTTTCCGTTGTTTTATTTTTTTATTTTTTTGAGGAGGAAAAAAATAATTTCACTTCACCAATTTTGAGTATTTTGGGTATGTCCATTACATTAAATAAAAATTAAAATCCATTTAAATCACAGGTGGTAATGCAACAAAATAGGAAAAATGCCAAGGGGGATGAATACTTTTGCAAGGCGCTGTACATTTTTTATGAACATGTTAAATTATGTGATGTGCAGTCATATTCAGGTCCTGATTGGTGTTATTTGACATGTATCTTTTTTGACACTCAGAGACACAAATGGCGTTCCATACAATACGTTAACACGCATCAATGCATTGACACACACACATCAATGCATTCACACACACACACACACACACACACACATCAACACACACACACACACGCATCAACACACACACACATCAACACATCAACCCACACACACACACACACACACATCAACGCAAACATCAATGCGTTAACACACACACACACTGGCATTAACACTCATGAACGTCAACACATTAACACACGTCAATGCATCAACACAATCTCTCACACACACACACACACACACACACATTCTGACATTTGTGTGTGTGTGTGTGTGTAGATGGTTTCCGTCCCAGGAGGAGTCTGGTGTTTGCCAGTTGGAGTGCAGGAGAGTACGGCAGTGTTGGAGCTACAGAGTGGCTGGAGGTGAGAACTACACACACACACACACTATGGGTGGAACGTTCCTCTTCAGGATAAGGCAGTGTTTCAGCTAACGGTATTTGATGAGAACAATGTCTCTGGATGGCGCTGATTGGACCAGCCTCTAAAGTAGCAGTGTGTCATATTTAATGTTGTGTGTGTGTTCCTCTCCAGGGTTACCTCTCCTCTCTGGACAAAAGAGCTTTCACCTACATCAGCCTGGACGGCGTAGTCACTGGTGAGTGTACACACACACACACACACACCACCAAAATACTTCATAAAGTATATGCTAAATGGCATATTATATTATAAAGTATCCTTTTAATATACGTGTGTGGGTGTGATCCTCAGGAAAAGCTGATGTTAAAGTGTCTGCCAGTCCCCTGCTCTACAGCCTTCTGCAAAGCACCATGAAAGAGGTGAAGAATCCCATTGGTTTTGGAGAGTCTGGGAAGTCTCTGTATGATCAGGTGTCTGGAGTCAACTTTGAGAAGGCAGTGTGAGTACGCCACACCTATCACTCCAATGATATATCACTCCAATGATATGTGTGTACAGTGGGCCTAATGTGTGTGTGTTATCAGGTTTGAGCCCATGCAGATGGAAGACTCTGCATATCCGTTCCTGGCCTTCTCTGGAATCCCCTCTCTCTCCTTCCGCTTCGTCTCTGAGAAGGTGAGACACACACACACACTGTCAGGTTTGGATGTGTTTACAAATGGTTCAATAACCCGTCTCTAATATAGGGGTGGGGGTAACCTAGATTTCTCTCTCTAATATATATATATATATATACATATAGTGAGGGAAAAAAGTATTTGATCCCCTGCTGATTTTGTACGTTTGCCCACTGACAAAGAAATGATCAGTCTATCATTTTAATGGTAGGTTTATTTGAACAGTGAGAGACAGAATAACAACTAAAATATCCAGAAAAACGCATGTCAAAAATGTTAGAAATTGATTTGCATTTTAATTAGGGAAATAAGTATTTGACCCCCTCTCAATCAGAAAGATTTCTGGCTCCCAGGTGTCTTTTATACAGGTAACGAGCTGAGATTAGGAGCACACTCTTAAAGGGAGTGCTCCTAATCTCAGTTTGTTACCTGTATAAAAGACACCTGTCCACAGAAGCAATCAATCAATCAGATTCCAAACTCTCCACCATGGCCAAGACCAAAGAGCTCTCCAAGGATGTCAGGGACAAGATTGTAGACCTACACTAGGCTGGAATGGGCTACAAGACCATCGCCAAGTAGCTTGGTGAGAAGGTGACAACAGTTGGTGCGATTCTTCGCAAATGGAAGCAACGCAAAATAACTGTCAATCTCCCTCGGCCTGGGGCTCCATGCAAGATCTCACCTCGTGGAGTTGCAATGATCATGAGAACGGTGAGGAATCAGCCCAGAACTACACGGGAGGATCTTGTCAATGATCTCAAGGCAGCTGGGACCATAGTCACCAAGAAAACAATTGGTAACACACTACGCCGTGAAGGACTGAAATCCTGCAGCGCCCGCAAGGTCCCCCTGCTCAAGAAAGCACATATACAGGGCCGTCTGAGGTTTGCCAATGAACATCTGAAAGATTCAGAGGAGAACTGGGTGAAAGTGTTGTGGTCAAATGAGACCAAAATCGAGCTCTTTGGCATCAACTCAACTCGTCGTGTTTGGAGGAGGAGGAATGCTGCCTATGACCCCAAGAACACCATCCCCACCGTCAAACATTGAGGTGGAAACATTATGCTTTGGGGGTGTTTTTCGGCTAAGGGGACAGGACAACTTCGCCACATCAAAGGGACGATGGACGGGGCCATGTACCGTCATCTTGGGTGAGAACCTCCTTCCCTCAGCCAGGGCATTGAAAATGGGTCATGGATGGGTATTCCAGCATGACAATGACCCAAAACACACGGCCAAGGCAACAAAGGAGTGGCTCAAGAAGAAGCACATTAAGGTCCTGGAGTGGCCTTGCCAGTCTCCAGACCTTAATCCCATAGAAAATCTGTGGAGGGAGCTGACGGTTCGAGTTGCCAAACGTCAGGATCGAAACCTTAATGACTTGGAGAAGGTCTGCAAAGAGGAGTGGAACAAAATCCCTCCTGAGATGTGTGCAAACCTGGTGGCCAACTACAAGAAACGTCTGACCTCTGTGATTGCCAACAAGGGTTTTGCCACCAAGTACTAAGTCATGTTTTGCAGAGGGGTCAAATACTTATTTCCCTCATTAAAATGCAAATCAATTTATAACATTTTTGACATGCGTTTTTCTGGATATCTTTGTTGTTATTCTGTCTCTCACTGTTCAAATAAACCTACCATTATAATTATAGACTGATCATGTCTTTGTCAGTGGGCAAACGTACAAAATCAGCAGGGGATCAAATAATTTTTTCCCTCACTATATATGTGTGTGTGTAATATATATATATATAGAGATATATATATATATATATCTCTATTACTACCAATCAAAAGTTTGGACACACATACTCATTCAAGGGTTTTTCTTTATTTTTTATTATTTTTTACATTGTAGAATAATAGTGAAGACATCAAAACTATGAAATAACACATGAAATCATGTAGTAACCAAAAAAGTGTTAAACAATTCAAAATATATTTGAGATTCTTCAAATAGCCACCCTTTGCCTTGATGACAGCTTTGCACACTCTTGGGATTCTCTCAACCATCTTCATGAGGTAGTCACCTGGAATACATTTCAATTAACAGGTGTGCCTTCTTAAAAGTTAATTTGTGGAATTTCTTTCCTTCTTAATGTGTTTGAGCCAATCACTTGTGTTGTAACAAGGTAGGGGTGGTATACAGAAGATAGCCCTTTTTGGTAAAACACCAAGTCCATATTATGGCAAGAACAGCTCAAATAAGCAAAGAGAAACGACAGTCCATCATTACTTTAAGACATGAAGGTCAGTCAATAGGGAAAATGTCAAGAACTTTGAAAGTTTCTTCAAGTGCAGTCGCAAAAACCATCAAGTGCTATGATGAAACTGGCTCTCATGAGGACCGCCACAGGAATGGAAGACCCAGAGTTACCTCTGCTGCAGAGGATAAGTTCATTAGAGTTACCAGCCTAAGAAATTGCAGCCCAAATAAATGCTTCACAGAGTTCAAGTAACAGACACATCTCAACATCAACTGTTCAGAGGAGACTGTGAATCCGGCCTTCATGGTCGAATTGCTGCAAAGAAACCACTACTAAAGGACACCAATAAGAAGAAGAGACTTGCTTGGGCCAAGAAACACGAGCAATGGACATTAGACCGGTGGAAATTATAGTAAAAATAAAGACAAACCCTTGAATGAGTAGGTGTCCAAACTGTTCACTGGTATATACAGTACCAGTCAAAAGTGTGGACACACCTACTCATTCATGGGTTTTTCTTTATTTTTACAATTTTCTACATTGTAGAATAATAGTGAAGACATCAAAACTATGAAATAACACATATGGATTTCTTCAAAGTAGCCACCCTTTGCCTTGATGACAGCTTTGCACACTCTTGGTATTCTCTCCACCAGCTTTACCTGGAATGCTTTTCCAACAGTCTTGAAGGAGTTCCCACACGTGCTGAGCACTTGTTGGCAGCTGTTCCTTCAGTCTGCGGTCCGACTCATCCCAAACCATCTCAATTGGGTTGATGTCAGGGGATTGTGGAAGCCAGGTCATCTGATGCAGCACTCCATCACTCTCCTTCTTGGTCAAATAGCCCTTACACAGCCTGGAGGTGTGTTGGGTCATTGTCCTGTTGAAAAACAAATGATAGTCCCACTAAGCCCAAACCAGATGGGATGGCGTATCGCTGCATAATGCTGTGGTAGCCATGCTGGTTAAGTGTGCCTCAAATTCTAAATAAATCAGTGTCACCAGCAAAGCACCCCCACACCATAACACCACCTCCTCCATGCTTTACGGTGGGATACACATGCGGAAATCATCCGTTCACCCACACCGCGTCTCACAAAGACACAGCAGTTGGAACCAAAAATCCCAAATTTGGACTCCAGACCAAAGGACAAATTTCCACCGGTCTAATGTCCATTGCTCGTGTTTCTTGGCCCAAGCAGGTCTCTTCTTCTTATTGGTGTCCTTTAGAAGTGGTTTATTTGAAGCAATTCGACCATGAAGGCCTGAACACATTAAGAAGGAAAGAAATTCCACAAATTAACTTTTAACAAGACACACCTGTTAATTGAAATGCATTCCAGGTGACTACCTCATGAAGGGGTTAAGAGAATGCCAAGAGCGTGCAAAGCTGTCATCAAGGCAAAGGGTGGCTACTTTGAAGAATGTGAAATATAAATTAGATTTTGATTTGTTTAACACTTTTTTTTTTTGGTTACTACATGATTCCATATGTGTTATTTCATTGCAATGTAGAAAACAGTAAAAATAAAGAAAAACCCTTGAATGAGTAGGTGTGTCCAAACTTTTGACTGGTACTGGATTTAAATCATATTCAAATCAACTATATATGCTCTAACATTGTCTGTCTCCGTGTGTGTGTCTGTTGTAGGCTTACCCTTACTACGGCACCTCTTTTGACAACAAGGAATACCTTGGTTACGCCACCGCCCATCATCTTAGTTCCATAGCCACTGGGGCGGGATTGGTCGCAGGTCAGTTGGCGTTACGACTGGTCCACGATCACGTGCTGCGTCTGGACGTGCAATACTACAAGACGGTTCTCAGGCAATGGGTGGTCAAAATCAACCAGCGCCTCAAACAAGTCACCCGGGTTTGTTTTCATGGTTGATTTTGGTTACATTGTAGTTGTTGTTTTTGGGCACAGCCCTAATTATAATGTTATTTTGTTACAGAATGGTTCTGCGGAGGGTCTGTCAGCTAATTGGCTCATAAAGGCCATTGGGTCCTACAGTACCGCTGCTGATGACCTCAACATTGAACTACTCAACACCGACTTCACTGACACACTGGCCTGCCACAACATCAACGACCGCATGATGAGGGTGAGACGTACACACACACAAACGCAAACCCTTGTCATCTAAACAGATCAAGGCCATAGGGCTCCAGTTTTATAGCGAACACAAGTCAGTTAGTAGTGGTTCTGTCTTGATTCATAAATGAACATTGGATTCTCCTCTCTCTGTCCACAGGTGGAACACAACCTCCTCTCACAGTTTGTCTCCCCCAAGGAGGTTCCGTTCCGCCACCTGCTGTTTGGCCATGGTTCCCACACCATGGCAGCCATGTTGGAAGGGGAGGACAGGGAGGCACTACGGACCCAGCTGGCCCTGGCCACCTGGACTCTACAGGGCTGTGCCAACGCTCTCTCTGGAGACGTCTGGGACATCGACAACCAGATCTAACACGGTCTAACTGTGTGTGAGGGGGTTCATCCTCGTTCACTTTAAAACCCAGGATGAGATGAACAGGGATTGGTCAGGAGGTATTATGTCATAAGAGACCTGGAAGTACTGTTTCCAAGTTGTTCCTTCCAGTGTCAGTCACTGGGTTGTCACTATTTATCACAGCCACAAAGTCAACATTGTCTATCGTAAAAATTCATGAAAACAAAAATTTGCTTTTTGGTCTTCATTTAAGGTTAGAATTAGGCATAATGTTAGCAGTGTGGTTAGGTTAGGTTCAAAACCAGATTTTAAGAAGAGAAATTGTATAAATAATTGGGGTTTAGCCGTAATTACGACTTTGTGGCTATGATAACTAGTGATGACCCAGTCACTGGACTTCCTGAAGAATGTTGAGATTGGTGACATCACTGTCTGATCCCTCTTCATCTCACTCCCCCCCCCACCCCCAAACTTGCTCGCTAACCCCTTGGAGCCTATTTATATTTTATTTATCAGTGGCAGAGACCACTATAAATGTTTAAGTCGTTTAGTTTTTATAAAAGTTATCGGGAGCACTGCCTTCCAGACTTATGGCAGTTTCATGTCGTTAGTTTGAGTTAAGAGTTTATTTATTTATCAGTGCCAGTGCTCACTATAAATGTTTAAGTCATTTAGTTTTTATAAAAGTTATCGGGAGCTGTGCCTTCCAGACTTATGACGGGTAGGCGTTTGTTTGGCTTTTGATAAAGTTATCGTTTAATTTGATAAAGTTATCGGGAGCAGTGCCTTCCATACTTATGACAGTTATACTGTCTCCTACTACGGCAGCATCTGCTGAAGCAACAGAGTCATGTAAACAGACAGTCGAACCACCCAAGGTCCCAAGACATTTGGTTTAAATATTCCCTTTCCCGTTTGCCTTGCAGTTAAAGGGAGAACAGAATTATAATTGAGACCGACACGGAACCGCTTTGATACGGATGAAACATTCTGAAAAACTGTCCAGCTACAGATGGTCAGACCTTTTCTGTATACACGACTCTGTTAACAGAAATACACCACCTGCTGCTACCACAATACTATGGAAACAGAAACCCGCAGCAACGGTATCACCACAAACGTGGGTACCCGACGGCGGCGGTTGTCATGACTGTCACATTTTGATTGGCTGAGTAATACAGAGTATGTTGAATTTGGCATGTTAAACATGTCACCCTATTATATAAAGCCTTAAATGGCTCTGGTCAAAAGTAGTGAACTGAATAGGGTGTAATTTCAGATGCAACATGGGCAACAACAAAAAACAGGCTCAAATCTCGCCTCTGAGCTGAATTTATAAAAGGAGCTTTATAGAGTTTTTTATATCCTGAAATAATATAATTCAGGCAGTGAAAGAGCCATATCTGTTAACCAGTCTTATTTTGCAGCGGTTTATATTTCTGATCTGAACCATTATCGGGAGCAGTGTTTTCCATAATGACAAGCATTGATGGTAGTTTTTGCCTACCAGTGTGTGTGTGTGTGTGTGTGTGTGTGTGTGTATCGGGGGCAGTGACTCCCATATTTCACTGAAGGGTGGAGTAACTTATCGGGAACAGTGTTTCCCAGAGTTTTATAACTGTATTTTTCTTTGTGTTCACAGTCTAGTACGTATGTCCTCTTTCTGTGTGTGACCTACTACTGCTCTATTGTTCCCCTCTGAACTACTTATAATGGATACGTCCTACCGGTGGAGGTTGCTGAGGGGATGACAGCTCATAATAATGTCTGGAACGGTGCAAATGGAATGGCATCATACGCATAGAAACCATGTGTTTGATACCATTCCACTTATTCCGCTTCAGCCATTACCACGAGCCCGTCCTCCCCAATTAAGGTCCCACCAACCTCCTGTGTGTCCTATGGCATGTTGCTGTATTTTCCCTTAGAAATGCAATCCCTACAACAGGTATTCCCATTCAGGCCAATAGGATTCTATTCCTATGTATTTTCCCATGCATGAATTATCAGACACTGAAACTCCTGTTGTAGCTGTCCGCTAAATGATTATTGTTCTTTTGATTATTGATCACACTGTCAATCAGGTAACTAGTAACATTTCTGTTAGACTTGTCAGTGCTAGTCTGAACTTGTACATGTTCATCTAACTGTTCTACCACTCACTTGGTGTGTGTTACAATGCTGTAGGGGACAGTTTATGGGTGTTTTTAGAGGTTTTGTACTGTTAATGATTTCTATTGTTCTGTTGTGCTTCAATAAACCTTTTGGCTTAGCGTACTGGACTGTGTGTGTGTGGTTATTGATCATTAATTGTGGTTGGAAGCTAACTATCAAATCACCATTAGCCTAGCTGCTTTTAGCAATGCTAGTATTTACACTAGTTTTGCTGGGAATTAGCTAAAAAAGAAATGTTATGAATGTTTCAACTTAATCTGTTGATTGTGTGTAGGCTTGGTCCTTATGCAGGGGGGAATTTGAGAAAAACAAAACATTAATGGAACATGTAATAAAACAATTGTTCCAAAACTGGGTCTGTTTTTAGACCATTGTAGACCCATGCAGTTCTTCTCTGATTACCTCATGTCATAATAAAAATCCCCCACAAATTCTTGCGCAGGTATGGCGCAAGTGCAGGACTTTTATTTTGAAGAGGTAAACGGAGAGGAAGTGGGTCTACAAGAGACCCACATTTGGAAAGGCAGTTTAATTTACATTCTGTTAATGTTTTTTCTCAATTTACCCCCTGCATAAGGACCAACCCTACAGACAATCAGCAGAGTAAACTGAAATTAAATGTTACTTAACTTCTGGTTTCCGGCGGACTATTCCGTTTATGTGCAAGCGAATTCCTAGCAACACTAGTATGTAAATGCTAGCGTTGCTAAAAGCAGCTAATCCCTACCCAAGCGATAATTTGCGCAGCGCGCTGGCGGCTGCAATGTTTGCGGCCTGGAACGTACCGTTTTTGACGCGGTGACGCAATGCCTGTAATCCCAGCAGCACGCGACCAGGAATTAACGAAGAGAAAATTGACAGGAATCAACTGGGCGCTTCTTACCAAGAGAACAATTAATGTTTTTGAAAACAACCGATTAAGGCGAGTTTTGGTGAGGTTGAGAAAATAGGGAGGCTCTATTTTTCCATCTCTCTCTGAGCGCCAGCATGAACGATACTGTTATCTTGATTCAGATCTTTGTCACTAATTAGGGTACCTTTAATAGGCTAATCATTTTATGGTCCACTGGTGTGACATGTTATGTTTAACACTTCAGTCGATACATTTGAAAAGCTGAAGTGTACGTGTTAGATTCGATGCGCATCTCTGTTATTTAGCCTAGTGTCATGTATGGGTATTTAACAAGAGCGACTGTTTACTAACAGGAGAGAAGGGAGAGTACGGTATTTTCCCTATAGCAACAGAAGTCTGCACTGCAGTGCTGTTTGATAATCCAGAGAGAAGAGGAATACAGGCTATATTTAGCTTCCGATATTCAGAGTGTCCTCAATAAGACAGAGACAGAGTAAGCACTGTTTCTCCACTCATTTAGTGTGTGTGCCTATGTTCATACCTCACAAGTGTTGAGCTGAATGAGTCCAAGATGGGAGAATAACTGCCACCATCTACTTCCATTCCTCAGTCTCCCTCTTACCCTCTGATATGCACAGTACTCACTTATCACTCACTGGCCCTGTCAGCTGTCATCACTCAGCATGGTAATAGCTCACTGAGTTGTCATGGTTACCTGGTCTCTGCCTCAACCGCATCTCTCTCCCTCTCTCTTTCCAGGGATGTTGTATTATTCAACAGTAGACAGAGGATGCTAAGAGTCAGAGAGAGGGAGAGTAGTAGGGAGGAAGAGAGAGGAGAGAGGGTAGGGAGGAAGAGAGAGGGTAGGGAGGTGTAGAGGTGTGCTGTGCAGTGGTGAGTCAGTATAGAAGGAGAAAGGGAGAGTGTATAGATAGATATCTTAGCTTGGCTAATAGAAATGGATGGAGAGAGGAGAGAGTGGAGTCTCCTGGTGTGTGTATTGATAAGGTAGAAGGTTGTGAGGTTGAGGGGCGATCAACACTGGGCAGACTTGGAGCAGAGTGACGCAGAGAGGAACTTAGACTTAACACTGCTTTATCACACACACATACACACACACGGCTGAAGCCAGGACAAAATTATAGAGGACCGAGGGAGGGTGAGGGAGAGATTGTAGGACGAGTGTGGAGTGAGCAGCAGCCATGGCAGAGAACTCTATGTACCAGCGTCTGTCCTACGAGAGAGAAGAGGAGGAGGAAGAGAGGAAGGAGGGAGTAACGAAGGAGAGAGGGGAAGAACAGATGGTAAAGTATTTTATATACTGTGTTAGAGATTGGTTGATTTTGTTGTTAGTTTATTGACTGTGTTTGTGTGTGTGTGTGTGTGTGTGTGTGTGTGTGTGTGTGTGTAGATGACGGAGGAGGGAACAGAGTGGTTGGTAGATCTGTTAACAGACGTTCAGCTGCAGCAGTACTTCCTGCGTATCCGTGACGAGCTGAACGTGACGCGCCTGTCACACTTCGACTACGTTAAGAATGAAGACCTGGAGAAGATCGGCATGGGGCGCCCAGGTATGTAAAGTATATCGTATTTTAAAGTATTTAAAAAATCAAAGAAAGTTCAAAGTGGATTTACCAGGTCTATTCCTCCAGAAACGGTCATAACACAGTCACAACAAGGTCATAACGCAGTCACAACGAGGTCATATCACGGTCACAACAAGGTCATAACACAGCCACAACGAGGTCATAACATGGTCACAACAAGGTCATATCACGGTCACAACGAGGTCATATCACAGTCACAACGAGGTCATAACACGGTCACAACGAGGTCATATCACGGTCACAACGAGGTCATATCACAGTCACAACGAGGTCATAACACGGTCACAACGAGGTCATAACACGGTCACAATGAGGTCATATCACGGTCACAATGAGGTCATATCACAGTCACAACGAGGTCATATCACGGTCATAACGAGGTCATATCACAGTCACAACGAGGTCATAACACAGTCACAACGAGGTCATATCACGCCTTATTGCCTCTCCTCCCTACACTCTGTTCTGTTCTCTCTGTCCTTTAACCAAGGTGTCACATACATAGGGGATGGGGTTGCAGTTTGTCAGAGGTAGGCTGACAGTGTGTAATGTATTCTCTGTGTGTTGCAGGCCAGAGGAGGCTTTGGGAGGCAGTCAAGAGGAGGAGAGCTCTCTATAAACGCAAGTCCTGGATGAGCAAGGTACAGCACACAGTGAGTTTGAATCCCTCTTAGCTGTAGTGTGTGTGTGTGTGTGTGTGTGTGTGTGTGTGTGTGAGTGTGTGGAGTCACTCTGAGCAGTAGTCTCTGTGTTTGGGCCAGCAGGTGTTTCCAGGGAAACGAACTGACTCTGACTCCGACCCCCAGCAGCTCCGGGGGGCGTCGCCCACCTTAACAACTCAAGGTGTGTATGTGTGTTTGTTTGACATATTCCTTACTCAAGGTTAGTTTTATAATTGATAAGATTCTGACCTACTCATGCTTATTTGTATAAACAATATTGTTGTTAAGGAGTTATAATTGGAGTATGCTAACTCGCATAATTATATTATATTAACTCTTATTGCGCCTGGTGTTTGAAGGCTTAACCCCGTCCAGCGATGGGCAGGGGGCAGCCCTGACTTGTCTGATCCGAGAGGCAGAGCTACAGCTGTGTGAACGACTAGGAGATGGAACCTTCGGAGTCGTCAGGAGAGGAGAGTGGACTGGAACCAATGGACAAATGGTGTGTGTGTGTGCATGCGTGCGAGCGAGCGAGCGAGCCCGCCCAGGAAACTGGAAAATACAACTATTTGAACAACAATAGGGGATGATTTCATCTGAGAGCTGGTTCACAAAGTAACGTCATTCTCTCTTCCTCTCTTTCACTCCCTCTGTCCCCCTTCTCCCTCCCTCTCTAGCTGTCAGTAGCAGTGAAGTGTCTGAAGACAGACAGTGTGTTAGACACTGAGGGCTTGGATGATTTCATCAGAGAGGTGAACGCCATGCACTCCCTCAACCACCAGAACCTCATACGGCTCTATGGAGTGGTGCTCACACACCCCATGAAGATGGTAAGACACGCGCACACACACACACACACACACACACACACACACACACAGATATACGCACACATACATACATACACACACAAATACACACACACTTACCATACCTCGTATTACTTAATGGATCTCTAACGTGTGTGTAGGTGACAGAGCTGGCTCCTCTTGGTTCTCTGTTGGATCGTCTGAGGAAGCGACAGGGACACATCCTCATCTCCTCTCTGTGTGGCTACGCTGTACAGGTCAGTGTGTGTGTACGTGTGTGACGCTACTGCATGATTAGCTAGTGCTCACTAGCTAGTTAGTTCACATCTGCTAAGTGTGTGTGTGTGTGTGTGTGTGTGTAGGTGGCGTGTGGCATGGCATATCTAGAACAGAGGCGATTCCTCCACAGAGACCTGGCGGCGAGGAACGTCCTGCTGTCAACCAATGAAATGGTGAAGATTGGTGACTTTGGTCTGATGAGAGCGCTGCCATCACACCAGGATACATACGTTATGGAAGAGAGCCACAAGGTGCCCTTCGCATGGTGAGTGAGTGACTGGGTGAGTGTGGGTGTGCATTCTCACTGCATGATCCTGTACTAAACAATATGATCTCTTTCTATCCTTAACCCCCCCCCCCCCTCCTCTCTATATGTGTCTCTCTCTCTCTCTAGGTGCGCTCCAGAGTCATTGAGGAGCAGGAGTTTCTCTCATGCTTCAGACACTTGGATGTTTGGAGTCACTCTGTGGGAGATGTTTACACACGGACAGGAGCCATGGCTAGGACTCAACGGCAGCCAGGTACACACACACAAACACACACACATACACACACAATAAGTGTCTGTCGGTAGTGCTTGATAAGTTTGTGTGTGTGTGTAGATTCTCCATAAGGTGGATGTGGAGGGGGAGAGGCTGGTGAAGCCAGCAGACTGTCCCCAGGATGTTTACAACGTGATGCTGCAGACCTGGAGCCCTCAGCCTGATGACAGACCAACATTCACCGCCCTTAGAGACTTTCTATTGGAGGTAGGGACCAGACTAGGGATGCGCGGGTGACTCCTAACCTGCAGTCCCCGCGGTTCTCTCCGCAGGGCAGGTGGATTTAGGGTAGGGTGACCACACCAATAATTTAAAAAGAAATGTGATTTGTAACGTATTTCAGTCAGACATTCCACCTGTCTCTTGCAGTCAAGTTGCGCTTATAAAAAAATTAATATATATATATACAGTGAGGAAAAAAAGTATTTGATCCCCTGCTGATTTTGTACGTTTGCCCACTGACAAAGAAATGATCAGTCTATAATTTTAATGGTAGGTTTATTTGAACAGTGAGAGACAGAATAACAACAAAAAAATCCAGAAAAACGCATGTCAAAAATGTTATAAATTGATTTGCATTTTAATGAGGGAAATAAGTATTTGACCCCTCTGCAAAACATGACCTAGTACTTGGTAGCAAAACCCTTGTTGGCAATCACAGAGGTCAAACGTTTCTTGTAGTTGGCCACCAGGTTTGCACACATCTCAGGAGGGATTTTGTCCCACTCCTCTTTGCAGATCATCTCCAAGTCATTAAGGTTTCGAGGCTGACGTTTGGCAACTCGAACCTTCAGCTCCCTCCACAGATTTTCTATGGGATTAAGGTCTGGAGACTGGCTAGGCCACTCCAGGACCTTAATGTGCTTCTTCTTGAGCCACTCCTTTGTTGCCTTGGCCGTGTGTTTTGGGTCATTGTCATGCTGGAATACCCATCCACGACCCATTTTCAATGCCCTGGCTGAGGGAAAGAGGTTGTCACCCAAGATTTGAAGGTACATGGCCCCGTCCATCGTCCCTTTGATGCGGTGAAGTTGTCCTGTCCCCCTAGCAGAAAAACACTCCCTTAGCATAATGTTTCCACCTCCATGTTTGACGGTGGGGATGGTGTTCTTGGGGTCATAGGCAGCATTCCTCCTCCTCCAAACACGACGAGTTGAGTTGATGCCAAAGAGCTTGATTTTGGTCTCATCTGACCACAACACTTTCACCCAGTACTCCTCTGAATCATTCAGATGTTCATTGGCAAACTTCAGACGGGCATGTATATGTGCTTTCTTGAGCAGGGGGACCTTGCGGGCACTGCAGGATTTCAGTCCTTCACGGCGTAGTGTGTTACCAATTGTTTTCTTGTTGACTATGGTCCCAGCTGCCTTGAGATCATTGACAAGATCCTCCCGTGTAGTTCTGGGCTGATTCCTCACTGTTCTCATGATCATTGCAACTCCACGAGGTGAGATCTTGCATGGAGCCCCAGGCCGAGGGAGATTGACAGTTCTTTTGTGTTTTTTCCATTTGTGAATAATCGCACCAACTGTTGTCACCTTCTCACCAAGCTGCTTGGCGATGGTCTTGTAGGCCATTCCAGCCTTGTGTAGGTCTACAATCTTGTCCCTGACATCCTTGTCTTGGCCATGGTGGAGAGTTTGGAATCTGATTGATTGATTGCTTCTGTGGACAGGTGTCTTTTATACAGGTAACAAGCTGAGATTAGGAGCACTCCCTTTAAGAGTGTAATCCTAATCTCAGCTCGTTACCTGTATAAAAGACACCTGGGATTTCTTTGTTGTTATTCTATCTCTCACTGTTCAAATAAACCTACCATTAAAATTATAGACTGATCATTTCTTTGTCAGTGGGCAAACGTACAAAATCAGCAGGGGATCAAATACTTTTTTCCCTCACTGTGTATATATATGTGTGAATATATATATATATATATATATATATATATATATATATACTGTATATATATATATACTGTATATGTCATAAGGATGTGGTACCGGTGATATTAAACACTTTGTTGAGATCTGATATTCTGCGCAGCGCAAGACGACCAATCAACCAATCGTCAACCAATCACTTTTCTCAAATCCTTTTGGGCTAAATTCCAGCTAAACTTGGAGAGGACAGTTAAGCCTAACTACTAACCAAAATTCTGCTTCTGACGAGGAGCTACGAAAGTAAGAAAATAGTAGTATTAAACTAAGAGATACAGTGGGGGGGAAAAGTATTTAGTCAGCCACCAATTGTGCAAGTTCTCCCCTTAAAAAGATGAGAGTGGCCTGTAATTTTCATCATAGGTACACGTCAACTATGACAGACAAATTGAGAAAAGAAATTCAAGAAAATCACATTGTAGGATTTTTAATGAATTTATTTGCAAATTATGGTGGAAAATAAGTATTTGGTCAATAACAAAAGTTTATCAATACTTTGTTATATACCCTTTGTTGGCAATGACACAGGTCAAACGTTTTCTGTAAGTCTTCACAAAGATGTTTTGGGGCTGTCGCTGGGCAACACGGACTTTCAACTCCCTCCAAAGATGTTCTATGGGGTTGAGATCTGGAGACTGGCTAGGCCACTCCAGGACCTTGAAATGCTTCTTACGAAGCCACTCCTTCGTTGCCCGGGCGGTGTGTTTGGGATCATTGTCATGCTGAAAGACCCAGCCACGTTTCATCTTCAATGCCCTTGCTGATGGAAGGAGGTTTTCACTCAAAATCTCACGATACATGGCCCCATTCATTCTTTCCTTTACACGGATCAGTCGTCCTGGTCCCTTTGCAGAAAAACAGCCCCAAAGCATGATGTTTCCACCCCCATGCTTCACAGTAGGTATGGTGTTCTTTGGATGCAACTCAGCATTCTTTGTCCTCCAAACACGACGAGTTGAGTTTTTACCAAAAAGTTATATTTTGGTTTCATCTGACCATATGACATTCTCCCAATCCTCTTCTGGATCATCCAAATGCACTCTAGCAAACTTCAGACGGGCCTGGACATGTACTGGCTTAAGCAGGGGGACACGTCTGGCACTGCAGGATTTGAGTCCCTGGCGGCGTAGTGTGTAACTGATGGTAGGCTTTGTTACTTTGGTCCCAGCTCTCTGCAGGTCATTCACTAGGTGCCCCCGTGTGGTTCTGGGATTTTTGCTCACCGTTCTTGTGATCATTTTGACCCCATGGGTGAGATCTTGCATGGAGCCCCAGATCGAGGGAGATTATCAGTGGTCTTGTATGTCTTCCATTTCCTAATAATTGCTCCCACAGTTGATTTCTTCAAACCAAGCTGCTTACCTATTACAGATTCAGTCTTCCCAGCCTGGTGCAGGTCTACAATTTTGTTTCTGGTGTCCTTTGACAGCTCTTTGGTCTTGGCCATAGTGGAGTTTGGAGTGTGACTGTTTGAGGTTGTGGACAGGTGTCTTTTATACTGATAACAAGTTCAAACAGGTCCCATTAATACAGGTAACGAGTGGAGGACAGAGGAGCCTCTTAAAGAAGAAGTTACAGGTCTGTGAGAGCCAGAAATCTTGCTTGTTTGTAGGTGACCAAATACTTATTTTCCACCATAATTTGCAAATAAATTCATTAAAAATCCTACAATGTGATTTTCTGGATTTTTTTTCCTCAATTTGTCTGTCATAGTTGACGTGTACCTATGATGAAAATTACAGGCCTCTCTCATCTTTTTAAGTGGGAGAACTTGCACAATTGGTGGCTGACTAAATACTTTTTTCCCCCACTGTATAAGGTAATTTTGTCAACATTGTCAGTCTCCCCAATCCCGTTTTAAAAGTCTCCCTGTTTTACATTCCCTGAGACCAACCAGAAGTGTTTCCTTGGCCAAATATTCCCAGATTTTCATAAAACAGCCACACATGTGGTCTCTCGTTTCTGCATCACCACATTTTGCGTGAGGCAAAAGAGTAGGCTAGGTGCGCTTCAATTAGCTCGTTGGGTGCAGCGGACTGCATCGGTGTAGTGCTGCCGGAACGCACCAGAGTGTCGCTCCGCCACTTCTGACAATGGTGCTCATTTAGTAAAGTTAGATCAAACCTGAATCAATGTCTTGGACGATCACATAATGATTAATTCGTATACTACATAACAGACCCAAATATTAATAGCATAGTAGCCTATAACATTACTGTTATACAAAGAACACCACCTTAGTCATTTCTAATGAGATTTTAGGAATGGTGTGCTTATAGTAAAACAGAAATTCTCATGTCGCCAAAATTCAACAGTGTGCGCCACTAGGCAGAAATATACTTGGATTTAAACAAAATACAGGAAGGCTATATACTGTATACTGAACAAAAATATAAACGCAACATGCAACAATTTCAAAGATTTTACTGACTTACAGTTCATAAAAGGAAATCAGTCAATTGAAATAAATTCATTAGTCCCTAATCTATGGATTTCACATGACTGGGCAGGGGCGCAGCCATGGGTGGGCCTTGGAGGGCATAGGCCAACCCACTTGGCAGCCAGGACCACCCATTGGGGAGCCAGGCCCAGCCAATCAGAATGAGTTTTTCCCCACAAAAGGGCTTTATTACAGACAGAAATACTCCTCAGCACCCCCCAAAGCCGGATGTGGAGGTCCTGGGCTGGCGTGGTTTGTGGTTGTGAGGCCGGTTGGATATACTGTCAAATTCTCTAAAACGACGTTGGCGGCAGCTTATGGTAGAGAAATTAACTTTCAATTATCTGGCAACAGCTCTGGTAGACATTCCACGCTCCCTCAAAGTGTAGTAGAATTGCATGAAATGTGTTTATAAAAGGCCACATTTTTCTCATGCAAAGAAAGGAGAAGAAACGTATCTGATATAGCCTATTGCTTAGGCCACTCTTCGCCACTACGTGCTCAGCCATGCATTGAACGGTCTTTTTGGCGAACAATGATTGAGTTATATTATTATTAGCCTAAATTATGACAATCCAATCTACTCATCACATTAGGAATAGTAGGCTTGCATAAGTCTGCAAATGTGATGATGCATGGAATGCTTTATTGTAATTTGCTTCCCCAAACTTGAAACTCACGCGCCGCCTATGGCTAACAAGTAGTGAAGCCGCATGTATCTAATTGTAGACAGGTTGACTAACAAATAGCCTACCAAAATGTCTGAAATTATAAGCAGAAACATAGGCCTATCTAAAAAAAAAAGGCCTGTCAAAATATCGCTCTGCCATCTCTGACTGTACATAGCATTTTCTATATTAGTGGGTTAGGGTCGGGTGTGGGTTTCAGATTTTTACTTTATCAGTTGCGGATGGGTTATTAGCAATTACGGGCGGGAGCGGGTAAACAAACAAGTGACCCCGCGCATCACTAGAACACAGACATTCATGGAATGGTTCACCAAGTGTCCAGCAGAGGGCACTGTAGGTACATGAGTGATTGCAAGACTGCAGGTGCAAAGGAAAAATGGATGCTGGCTTCATAAATCTTGGGGCAGATTTCCCAAACACAGATTAAGCCTAGTCCTGTTGAATTTTTCCATGTAGAATCTCCATTGAATCATGCTTTTTAGTCCAGGATTCGGATCAATCTGTGTCCGGGAAACCGGCGCTTGACGTTCCCCGCGTAGTAGTCATAATCATGATGGTGTGTGTGTGTGTGTGTGTGTGTGTGTAGACCATGCCTACAGACATGAGATCGCTGCAGGATTTTGAAGAACCAGATAAACTTCAGATCACCATGAATGACATCATCACCATCATCGAGGGCAGGTCAGTTTGTGAGTGTGTGTGTGGGTGGGTGTAAGAAGAATGATTCATTATTCAGAAAGTCAGATAGATATCTAATATGAAGAGCATACATGCTTCTCTGTAAAGTGCAATAGGGAATCATATCAGTGTGTGTTCATGTGTGTCTCTTTGTCTCCAGAGCAGAGCTCTATTGGTGGAGAGGTCAGAACAGGAGGACGTTGCGTGTGGGACAGTTTCCTCGCCACGTGGTTACGTCGGTCAGCGGCCTGTCAGCCCAAGACATCAGCAGACCACTCACACACTCCTTCATTCACACTGGACACGGAGACACTGACCCACACAGGAGCTGGGGGCACGCTGACCGCATAGACAGGTACACACACACACAGAGACCTGGCTGTTACCTGCAGGTACAGTGTCTGACCACTAGAGGACAGCAGAGCCCCGTTAGTAGTGCTGTTGTTCTTTAGCTTGTCAGGCACAATAAAACCAATGGAAAAGTCCCAAAATACTTTTTATAAACAACACCTGAAGTACTGTGTTAACACTGTGTTTGAACTCCACTATATCCCTGGTCTTTACCCCTCACCCAGCCTGTACTTGGGAAACCCCATGGACCCCCCTGATGTTATGGGAATGGATCCTTCCACTGCCCGGCCCACCAAACTACCCAACCGCACCAGGAGTGAGTAGGCTACACAAACAAACACACATTTATTCTCTCCTTACAATATCTTCCTACCTTTTTATTAATTCCTAAACTCTCTCCCTCTTTCTGTTTTTGTCTCTCAGAGCTGCCTCCTCCTCGTCCTCCCCAGCCTGCTGTCCTGATCAAGAGTATGTCTTCCACGCTGAGTGTGTATTTACCTGTATATGTTGAGCTGTCTATGACTCTCTGATTGATGATAACGGTGTGTGCGTGTGTGTGTGTGTGTGTGTGTGTGTGTGTAGAGCCGTTCTATGACTCTGTGTTAGATGATGATGATGAATATGAAGGTGCTTCGTCGGGGCTGAAGAGGCTGGGCGCGGCTATAGGCCTTAAACTCCGCACGGGGGAGGGGCCAGGTGTGAGGTCGGCCAAAAGCGAGGTCTCGCTCATCGACTTCACCGATGACAGCTTCAGCTCGGCCACGCCCTCCCCTCTCACTGAGACACGCCTACCTGACCAGGACACACTCCAGGTACACACACACACTCACACACACACTCAGTGGGCAAAATAACCTTCTTCTCTCCTCTCTCCGTCCAGGACCTTCCTTCCATACTGGACTGGCCTCTCCCTCTTCCTGCCTACGATGAGGTTGCCACAGAGGCCGAGGGTCAATTGGCAGACCAGGAGGTTCGATCTATCACTGGATTGCCGGAGGGGATGTTAGTTCCGCCCAACACTGATGCAGAGGGGAGGGGCTTAACACAGTCAGCTGATCTGTTCCAGGAGCTGCAGAGAGAGGTACGACACACACACACACACACACACACACACACACACACACACACACGCACACGCACACGCACACGCACACACACACACACACACACACAGGTTTGTCATTTGAGTCTGGAGTTTTAACGTTGTTGTTTTTCTCTTTTCCTGCTGACCTGCAGGTGATGGTGAAGCTGCGTGTTCCCATGACGACCGGCCGTTCCCTCCCCTCCTCCCCCCCTCCCCCTCTCCCTGGCCCCTCACAGACAGATCTACCTTCCTCCCCCCTCCTCCTCTTCCTCCTATGAGGACAGACCCATGCTACCCCCTCGCTCCCCCATCCCACCCCTCCGCTCCTCCAAACGCGTTTCCCTACGTGAGAGGGAAAACACGCCCCCTCAAATCCCTCCCAGAGACCACGCCTTTTCTCAGCCATCCTCACGCTCCTCCTCCCCCCTTCCTTTAGTGCTTCCCCTCTCTGTCTCCCCTCTCTCCTCCTCCCTTTGTCTCCCCCCTCCTCCCCTCTCCTTGTCTCCTCGTCAGAGGACTGGACTATACGGGGTTGTTGGTCCTCTCGGCCCCCTAGTCTCCTCCTCCCCCTCTTCCTCTCCTCCCTCCTCCTCACTCTATTCCTCCATGCTCACAGCTGCCCCTCCCCCCAGTTCCTCATTGGATCCCCTCTCTGAGGGGCGTGGCCTGTCAATACTTATTGACAACTCTCAGAGTTCTGAACGTCCCGCCTACTTAGAGAGGTATGGAGCCGCCAAAATGGCCACCGTCCGACCCATGGTGCAACAGCAGCCAGGCGGGGGTGGGGCCAGGCCTAACTCCTCCCACAACAACAACAACCACAGGACTCAGCAGTTAACTACAGCTCCCAGCAGGCAACGGGAGAACGGCCTCATTCAGGTTAGAGATGTTCAGAACAGTGAGGCTGCATTCAAGTGCTCTTTGTGTTTACCTGTTTATTGTGTCAGAAATGCATTCAAGTGCTTTCTGAAGTCGCAAGACTTCTGAACCTATGAGATGCTAAAACATTAGGTGTGTGTGTGCATCTGTGTTTACACGCACACAAACACACACACACACACACTCTCTAACATCTCTCTTTCCCTCTCTCTCTCTCCCTCTAACATCTATATTTCTCTATCTCTCTGTTGTAGGTAGAACAGTTGTTCCGGCTGGGTCTGCGTTCTAGAACAGAGTGCCAGGAGGTTCTAGAGCGTTGCCAGTGGAACCTAGAACAGGCACGCACCATGCTACTGGACTCTTATGGAAAAGTAGGCTGAGACAGACACCAGACTCCAGGACCACTGACCTACAGACTTAAAACTACTGACATTTAACCCTACACACCTACTGTTCTAAAAACGACAGACCTGAAACTACAAACCTTTACCTATTACTACAGACCTTTAACTACAGACCAGCCCACCTGTATACTAGAGAACTCTGACAATGAGTGGAAGCCAGGTGAAGCCAGGTGAAGCCAACAGATTTAAGGCTGAAGGTAGTAATAATGTTCATAGAACAGACATCCCCATTCATATCATTCCCTTGCTGGAGACTATAGGACCTGGTTGAGTCATACGAAGGGAAACACTGAACGAACACAATACTGCATGCTCAGTAGTTAAGTTATTATATTGTTATATTATATAGATACAGTGCCTTCAGAAAAATTCACACCCCTTGACTTTTTCTAGTTTTTTTTGTGTTACAGCCTGAATTTAAAATGGATTAAATTGAGATCTAGTGTCACTGGCCTACAGACCCCATAATGTCAAAGTGGAATTATGTTTTTACAAATTTTTGCAAATTAATTAAAAATGAAAAGCTGAAATGTATTGAGTCAATAAGTATTCAACCCTATTGTTATGGAAAGCATAAATAGGTTCAGGAGTAAACATTTATTTCAAGTCACATAATAAGTTGCATGGACTCACTCTGTGTGCAATAATAGTGATTAACATGATCATCTCTGTACCCCACACATACAATTATCTGTAAGGTCCCTCAGTCGAGCAGTGAATTACAAACACAAATTCAACCACAAAGACCAGGGAGGTTTTCCAACGGCTGGCAAAGAAGGGCACCTATTGGTAGATGGGTGAAAAAAAAAGCAGACATTGAATATCCTTTTGAACATGGTGAAGTTATTAATTACACTTTGGATGGTGTATCAATACACCCAGTCACTACAAAGATACAGGTGTCCTTCCTAACTCAGTTGCCGGAGAGGAAGGAAACCGCTCAGGGATTTCACCATGAGGCCAATGGTGACTTTAAAACAGTTACGGAGTTTAATGGCTGTGATAGGAGAAAACTGAGGATGGATCAACAACATTGTAGTTACTCTACAATACCAATAACCTAGATGACAGAGTGAAAAGAAGGAAGCCTATACAGAATAAAACTATTCCAAAACATGCATCCTGTTTGACATAGACTGACAGGTGAATCCAGGTGAAAGCTATGATCTCTTATTGATATCACTTGTTAAATCCACTTCAATCATTGTAGATGAAGGGTGGAGACAGGTTAAAGAAGGATTTTTAAGAATTGAGACGTGGATTGTGAATGTGTGCCATTCAAAGGGTCAATGGGCAAGTCACAAGATTTGAGTGCCTTTGAACGGGGTATGGTAGTAGGTGCCAGGCCCAGGCACACCGGTTTGTGTCAAGAACTGCAACGCTGCTGGGTTTTTCACGCTCAACAGTTTCCTGTGTGTATCAAGAATGGTCCACCAGCCAACTTGACAAACTGTGGGAAGCATTGGAGGCAACATGTGTCAGCATCCCTGTGGAAAGCTTTTGACACCTTGTAGAGTCCATGCCCCGACTAATTGAGGCTATTGTGAGGGCCAAAGGGGGGGGATGCAACTCAATATTAGGAAGGTGTTCTTAATGTTTTGTACACTCATTGTACACTGGAGTTGATTACCATGACGACATTGAATGCTCCTGAGTAGCTTAGTTACAGTTTTTATTTAAATCTGCTTGGAAATCTATGGCAAGACTTGAAAATGGCTATCTAGCGATGATCAACAAGTTGACAGAGCTTGAAGAATTTTTTAAAGAATAATGAGCAATCCAGGTGTGCAAAGCTCTTAGAGACTTACCCAGAAAGACTGCTGTAATTGCTACCAAAGGTGATTATTTTATTTTACCCCTTTTTTGTGGTATCCAATTGATAGTTACAGTCTTGTCCCATCGCTGCAACTCCCGTACGGGGACAGCCCAGCCAGCAGGGACAGTCTAGCCACAACCCAACCGAGAGCACTGCCCGTACATAGGAGTCGCTAGTGCGCAATGGGCCAAACCCTCCCCTAACCTGGTCTCCCGGTCGCGGCCGGCTGCAACAGAGCCTGGACTCGAACCAGGATCTCTAGTGGCACAGCTAGCACTGCGATGCAGTGCCTTAGACCACTGTGCCACCTGGGAGGCCTACCAAAGGTGATTCTAACATGTATTGACTCAGGGGTGTAAATAAGATATTTATATATTTAAATTTCAACAAATGTGCTAAAAATTCTCAAAACATGTTTTCATTTTGTCATTATGGGGTATTGTGTGTAGATGGGTGAGAGAAAATATATATTGAATATATGTTGGATTCAGGCTTTAACAACAACATGTGGAATAAGTCAAGGGGTATGAACACTTTCTGAAGGCGCTGTTAATCATCGTTAGTTACACAGGATCAAATATGAAGTCTGAATATTTATTGTTTGGATATTTAAGGATTATTTATGTTTCTTTAATTACTTCAGCTCTTGTGTGTGTGTGCGCTTGTGTGTGTGTGTGCGCTTGTGTGTGTGTGTGCGCTTGTGTGTCCCTACGGTCCGTACGTGTGTGTGTTGATACCTGCTGTAAATGCTCATGCTTTCACTGTTAATGATATGCTATGATCAGGGATATAAAATGATACATTTTGTTTTATTTCATGACTACTACAACACTTAGAGTCCAGATGAAGTGTTCTGCACAGATATGTGTCATTGTAAAGTATGATAATAATGCTGTATATTAGATACAAAGTACTATTGCAAAGTAAAAATGGTATAATACGTATTAAGTACATAAGTGTAAAGTTAAGTAATACGTTCTGTAGACAGTATAGTGTTATATGGTGTGGGACAGACATACAGAAGATTTTAAGATGACGATGATAATCATGAAAATGCTGATATACTCTGTGTGTGTGTGTGTGTGTGTGTGTGTGTGTGTGTGTGTGTGTGTGTGTGTGTCTGTGTGTGTGTGTGTATGTGTGTGTGTGTGAATAGTGATAATAATGACGATAGTCATGAAATATTCTGGAGCAGTCATACAGCATATTACAAACCTACCTATCTACAGGGAGGTCCAGACACTGCAAGGTGTGTTTGAGTGTGAGTTATTGAGTGAGAGAGAGTGTTAATGCATGTGCGTGTTGACTCTTGCTCAGTGGTAGTGCTATGAACTGACAGTCAGGTGGTTGTAGGGTAATGTTGACTACAGGAGTACAGATCTGTAGCACCACATGTCTGACATTTTATAATAAACAGATTTTTGGATCAACTCTGGATTCTATTCTGGTTTCCCGCTTGTCTTGGAACATGTACACACACAACAGAACAAAGAAACAAGAAAAAACAAGACGTAATAGACAGAGAGGGAGGATAATGAGAGAGAGAGAGAGAGAGAGAGAGAGAGAGAGAGAGAGAGAGAGAGAGAGAGAGAGCGAGAGAGAGAGAGAGAGAAACAGTAGGAAAAGAAAAAGAGCTAGAGCGATATTGAAATAAATGAAAAGATGAGACTGACTCCTTGAACTGGAAAGAAATCAATGGGATCAAGTGGAGGGGAAGAAATGTGTCTTCCCTGAGGGAAAGGGGAGGTTAGAGAAGAGAGGAGGAAGAAATGTGTCTTCCCTGAGGGAAAGGGGAGGTTAGAGAAGAGAGGAGGAAGAAATGTGTCTTCCCTGAGGGAAAGGGGAGGTTAGAGAAGAGAGGAGGAAGAAATGTGTCTTCCCTGAGGGAAAGGGGGAGGTTAGAGAAGAGAGGAGGAAGGGGGGAGGTGAGAGAAGAGAAGAGAACGGAGGAACAGGAGTAGATGAAGTGAGGAGTGGAAGAAGGAAGGAGAGAGAGGGAGTGGGGAAGGGAGGAAGGAGTAGATAAAGTGAGGAGTGGAGGAAGGAAGGAAAGAGAGGGAGGAAGTTAATGACCTAAAACGGTTTTGGAGGATTTCCTCTATTGAACAGCTCTTGACACATACAGTTGAAGTCTGAAGTTTACATACACTTAGGTTGGAGTCATTAAAACTCATTTTTCAAACACTCCACACATTTCTTGTTAACAAACTATAGTTTTGGCAAGTCGGTTAGGACAGCTACTTTGTGCATGACACAAGTCATTTTTCCAACAATTGTTTACAGACAGATTATTTCACTTATAATTCACTTTATCACAATTCCAGTGGGTCAGAAGTTTACATACACTAAGTTGACTGTGCCTTTAAACAGCTTGGAAAATTCCAGAAAATGATGTCATGGCTTTAGAAGCTTCAGATAGGCTAATTGACATCATTTGAGTCAACTGGAGGTGTACCTGTGGATGTATTTCAAGGGCTACCTTCAAACTCAGTGCCTCTTTGCTTGACATCATGGGAAAATCAAAAGAAATCAGCCAAGACCTCAGAAAAAAAATGTGTAGACCTCCACAAGTCTGGTTCATCCTTGGGAGCAATTTCCAAACGCCTGAAGGTACCACGTTCATCTGTACAAACAATAGTACGCAAGTATAAACATCATGGGACCACGCAGCCGTCATACCGCTCAGGAAGGAGACGCATTCTGTCTCCTAGAGATGAACGTACTTTGGTGCAAAAACTGCAAATCAATCCCAGAACAACAGCAAAGGACCTGGTGAAGATCCCGGAGGAAACAGGTACAAAAGTATCTATATACACAGTAAAAACAAGTCCTATATCGACATAACCTGAAAGGCCGCTCAGCAAGGAAGAAGCCACTGCTCCAAAACCGCCATAAAAAAGCCAGACTACGGTTTGCAACTGCACATGGGGACAAAGATCGTACTTTTTGGAGAAATGTCCTCTGGTCTGATGAAACAAAAATAGAACTGTTTGGCCATAATGACCATCTTTATGTTTGGAGGAAAAAGGGGGTCGCTTGCAAGCCGAAGAACACCATCCCAACCGTGAAGCACGGGGGTGGTAGCATCATGCTGTGGGGGTACTTTGCTGCAGGAGGGACTGGTGCACTTCACAAAATAGATGGCATCATGAGGAAGGAAAATGATGTGGATATATTGAAGCAACATCTCAAGACGTCAGTCAGGAAGTTAAAGCTTGGTCGCAAATGGGTCTTCCAAATGGACAATGACCCCAAGCATACTTCCAAAGTTGTGGCAAAATGGCTTAAGGACAACAAAGTCAAAGTATTGGAGTGACCATCACATAGCCCTGACCTCAATTTGTGGGCAGAACTGAAAAAGCGTGTGCGAGCAAGGAGGCCTACAAACCTGACTCAGTTACACCAGCTCTGTCAGGAGGAATGGGCCAAAATTCACCCAACTTATTGTGGGAAGCTTGTGGAAGGCTACCCGAAACGTTTGACCCAAGTTAAACAATTTAAAGGCAATGCTACCAAATACTAATTGAGTGTATGTAAACTTCTGACCCACTGGGAATGTGATGAAATAAATAAAAGCTGAAATAAATAAATCTCTCTACTATTATTCTGACATTTCACATTCTTAAAATAAAGTGGTGATCCTAACTGACCTAAGACAGGGAAATTTTACTAGGAATTATGAAAAACTGAGTTTAAATGTATTTGGCTAAGGTGTATGTAAACTTCCGACTTCAACTGTACATACACAGACACACACACATGAAGTGCAGCTCAGGGCTGAGGAACACACACACACACAAAGTGAGTGATGAGTAATAGGCAACATACACTGCTCAAAAAAATAAAGGGAACACTAAAATAACACATCCTAGATCTGAATGAATGAAATAATCTTATTAAATACTTTTTTATTTACATAGTTGAATGTGCTGACAACAAAACCACACAAAAATGATCAATGGAAATCAAATTTATCAACCCATGGAGGTCTGGATTTGGAGTCACCCTCAAAATTTAAGTGGAAAACCACACTACAGGCTGATCCAACTTTGATGTAATGTCCTTAAAACAAGTCAAAATGAGGCTCAGTAGTGTGTGTGGCCTCCACGTGCCTGTATGACCTCCCTACAATGCCTGGGCATGCTCCTGATGAGGTGGCGGATGGTCTCCTGAGGGATCTCCTCCCAGACCTGGACTAAAGCATCCGCCAACTCCTGGACAGTCTGTGGTGCAACGTGGCGTTGGTGGATGGAGCGAGACATGATGTCCCAGATGGGCTCAATTGGATTCAGGTCTGGGGAACGGGCGGGCCAGTCCATAGCATCAATGCCTTCCTCTTGCAGGAACTGCTGACACACTCCAGCCACATGAGGTCTAGCATTGTCTTGCATTAGGAGGAACCCAGGGCCAACCGCACCAGCATATGGTCTCACAAGGGGTCTGAGGATCTCATCTCGGTACCTAATGGCAGGCTACCTCTGGCGAGCACATGGAGGGCTGTGCGGCCCCCCAAAGAAATGCCACCCCACACCATGACTGACCCACCACCAAACCGGTCATGCTGGAGGATGTTGCAGGCAGCAGAACATTCTCCACGGCGTCTCCAAACTATGTCACGTCTGTCACATGTGCTCAGTGTGAACCTGCTTTCATCTGTGAAGAGCACTGGGCGCCAGTGGCGAATTTGCCAATCTTGGTGTTCTCTGGCAAATGCCAAACGTCCTGCACAGTGTTGGGATGTAAGCACAACCCCCACCTGTGGACGTCAGGCCCTCATACCACCCTCATGGAGTCTGTTTCTGACCGTTTGAGCAGACACATGCACATTTGTGGCCTGCTGGAGGTCATTTTGCAGGGCTCTAGCAGTGCTCCTCCTGCTCCTCCTTGCACAAAGGCGGAGGTAGCAGTCCTGCTGCTGGGTTGTTGCCCTCCTACGGCCTCCTCCACGTCTCCTGATGTACTGGCCTGTCTCCTGATAGCGCCTCCATGCTCTGGACACTACGCTGACAGACACAGCAAACCTTCTTGCCACAGCTCGCATTGATGTGCCATCCTGGACGAGCTGCACTACCTGAGCCACTTGTGTGGGTTGTAGACTCCGTCTCATGCTACCACTAGAGTGAAAGCACCGCCAGCATTCAAAAGTGACCAAAACATCAGCCAGGAAGCATAGGAACTGAGAAGTGGTCTGTGGTCACCACCTGCAAACCAGTCCTTTATTGGGGGTGTCTTGCTAATTGCCTATAATTTCCACCTGTTGTCTATTCCATTTGCACAACAGCATGTGAAATGTATTGTCAATCAGTGTTGCTTCCTAAGTGGACAGTTTGATTTCACAGAAGTGTGATTGACTTGGAGTTACATTGTGTTGTTTAAGTGTTCCCTTTATTTTTTGAGCAGTGTAGTAATTTAGCACATCAGTGAGATTTACGACTCATCAAACACCTGCTCTCTCCCTCTGTCTCTGTCTCTCTAGCCAGCAGGGACAGCCCAGCCAGCAGGGACAGTCTAGCCAGCAGGGACAGTCTAGCCAGCAGAGACAGCCCAGCCAGCAGGGACAGTCTAGCCAGTAGGAACAGTCCTCTGGCGTTTCAGGTGAATAATGTCTAATCCCCCCTCTCTCTCTCTCTCTCTCTCTCTCTCTCCTCCTTTCTCTCTCAATTTATTTCCATAGTGCTGTGTTGGCAGGACAGCTAAAGGATAATGATACCATAGTGCTGTGTTGGCAGGACAGCTAAAGGATAATGATACCATAGTGCTGTGTTGGCAGGACAGCTAAAGGATAATGATACCATAGTGCTGTGTGGGCAGGACAGCTAAAGGATAATGATACCATAGTGCTGTGTTGGCAGGACAGCTAAAGGAATAATGATACCATAGTGCTGTGTTGGCAGGAACAGCTAAAGAATAATGATACCATAGTGGCTGTGTTGGCAGGACAGCTAAAGGATAATGATACAAGAGACATGATCTCTTTGGTTTTCTCCCTCTCTGTCTCTCTCCCCACCCCCTCTCTCTTCTTATCTATTTTTATAGTTCCTGGTAGAACAGCAAAGACTACAGTCTGGAAAGGATAGAAGAGAGAGAGAGAGAGAGAGAGAGAGAGAGAGAGAGAGAGAGAGAGAGAGAGAGAGAGAAGAGAGAGAGGAGAGAGAGAGAGAGATAGAGCGCTAGCGAGAGAGCTCGCATAGAGGATAGCGAGCTCTCTCGATCTAATCTCTTGTTATCGCGATCGCAGAGAAGCTAGAGAGCTGCGACTCTTTGTACCTGTTTCCACAAGAAAACGGGCAACCAGTTGAAGAACCAACACCATTGTTACAATACAACCCATATTTATGTTTTATTTTATTTTTCCCATTTTGTACTTTAAACTCATTTGCACATTGTTACAACACTGTTATATATCATAATATGACATTTGAAATGTCTTATTCTTTTGAAACTTCTGAGTGTAATGTTTGTACTTTTAATATTTATTGTGTTACTTTCACTTTTGTTTAAACTCTCTACTTTCCTTGCTTGGCAATGTTAACACACCCTCGTTTTCCCATGCCAATAAAGCCCTTACATTTGAATTGAAAGTTTGAATTTGAATTGATAAGAGAGAGGAGAAGAGAGAGAGAGAGGATCCGAGAGAGAGGAGAGAGGAGAGACTGCGGAGTGATGGCTGGAGAGATGGAAGCGGATTGAGGGGAGACGAAGATTTTGTGTACCTGTTGCCACAACAAAGAAAAGGGCAACCAAGTTGAAGAACAAAACACCCCATTGTCAAATTACAACCTCATATTTATGTTTATTTATTTTCCCATTTGTACTTTAACTATTTGCACATTGTTACAACACTGTATATATACATAATATGACATTTGAAATGTCTTTATTCTTTTGAAACTTCTGAGTGTAATGTTTACTGTTAATATTTATTGTTTATTTCACTTTTGTTTACTATCTACTTCACTTGCTTTGGCAATGTTAACACACGTTTCCCATGCCAATAAAGCCCTTAAATTGAATTGAAGTTGAAATTGAATTGAGAGAGAGAGAGAGAGAGAGAGAGAGAGAGAGAGAGAGAGAGAGAGAGAGAGAGAGAGAGAGAGAGAGAGGAAGTCTTCAAGTCCTATCACAAATCACTAATTGAAGAATGCCAGGCTGAGTTTCAGAGAAACAAATATCTGACTTTGATACTGTCCATTAAACGTTCTGCCTGAAAGGAGCGCGGTGTGGGGCGCTGTCCAATGTGCTGAAATGTGTACATCTTATCCACCAAGCATCTGTTGCCTACGTACAGTATGTTTGCTTTGAAGAACAACAGGTCGGTGGGAACCCACTACATTAGAGAGGATAATTAATTAGTCAGGTTTGGGGAGAGGGATTTCTAGCTTCCTGTTTTGTTGAAAGGATATATCATCAACAAACATCAGTTTTATGAATAAAACACTAGAGGAAAAGAGACATCCTCTCTCCCTCGTTCTCTCCCTCTCCATCACTCTCTCTCCTCACCGTAAATGACCCCCCCCCCCTTTCCCGTTAACTTCTCGCGCACCAGGATATGTCACTTCACGCCGATAAAAGCGCGAACAGACTCCCGGTGCCGGCAGAGCATGATGACCTCCGAGTCCACCGTGAAGCCGGGGTAGGGAAACACACCGAGAGTTAACTGAACTTCCAGTCGCATAGCAGAGCGCACCAGGGGACTGCAATTTATACCCGGTGGAATTCGGAGTTGTTTCACCTGATGAAGACCAATCGGTCGAAACGTTGTTTTTCAGCTAACAATGAATGGACAAAACATTTCCCGCTTCTTCTTTTTCTCTCCAGCCTGTTTGTGCGCCTCTCGTGATGGGCTGACAGTGACAGAGACAGACAGAGGCAGAGCAAGGGAGACCAAACCAAATGGATTATCTCTCCTCCAAAATCCATCTGCCGTCGGGGAACCATAGAGTGTAACTAACTGGGCCGGTATGATCGTGTCTAACGTCAGTCTGAGCTGCGACGCGAGCTGCCCATGGGGAGACAGTGACAGTGAGACGGTGGTCTTGCAGGGAGGAGGTTCAGGTTCTCTGAGTCCTACGGGACACCTCGTGGTGGCGGTATGTCTGGGGTTTATAGGTACATTCGGTTTCCTCAACAACCTCCTGGTGTTAACGTTATTCTGCCGGAACCGCGCACTGCGCTCTCCCATCAATGTCTTGCTGGTGAGTGTGTGTGTGTCGGACCTGCTGGTCAGCGTGCTCGGGACACCGTTCAGCTTCGCCGCTGCCACACAGGGCCGGTGGTTGATCGGTAGTGCGGGATGCGTCTGGTACGGCTTCATCAACGCCTGTTTGGGTAAGCAGCCTATTGTCTCTCTCTCTCTGCCTCCCTCTCTCTCTCGCTCTCTCTCTCTCTCTCTCTCTCTCTCTCTCTCTGTGTGTGTGTGTGTGTGTGTGTATGTGTATGTGTATGTGTGTTAGTGCTCAGCTTAAAGTATGTGCTAAATGTACAGTATTTGACTGTATCAGCACTATGGCTGCTCTGGATCTTGACTCAGATTTCTCAATGAACTTCAACAGTAAAGTGATTAAGCATAAATCTAAATAAATAATTAACTTCAGACTCTCCAGCCACAGCCCCTTGTGTGTTTGTGTGTTCAACAAGATCTCATGGTGGCCTTAAGATTCTGATATTCATCCACTTTCTCCAAACCTCACATTTTAAAGTTACTCCAAACATAACATTTAGAAGTGTTTTTGACACCCTGGGTTTACTGCTCCTGCTCAGCATCATTCTGTTTCTCCAAATGTCACATTTCGAAGTTAAGGTTTGGGATAGGGTTAAAACATTAAGTTTAGGCATTCATTCCGAATGGTTAAATTAAGGGTTAAGGTTTGGGACAGGAATAAAACCAACAACAAAAAAATGTGTATCTACCACTGGAATTGAACACTCAACCTTTGGATCCGGAGTCATGGGATTACCCCATCCACAACACCCTAGCAAAACCCAAACCTACTTCATGGTAATACCGCTCACTGTTGCCCCTAGTGGACGGTTTTGAAGGCATTTCCTGAAGTCAATTTCGAGGTCAATCTTGAGGGATCTGCCTGGTGTGTGTGTGTCAGACTGCGTCCTCATTAACTGTCAGCGGTGCCTTGTGAAACAGCAACCTAATACCCAGTCAAGTCTCTATGCTATTTTGTGTATGTGTGTGTGTGTGTGGGTGTGTGTTCCAGGTATTGTGTCGCTGATCTCCCTGGCAGTGTTGTCCTATGAGCGTTACTGTACCATGCTGTGTAGGACGCAGACAGACGGCAGCGACTTCGGTCCAGCGGTGGCCGGAGTGTGTTTCTCCTGGCTCTACTCTCTGGCCTGGACACTGCCCCCGCTGCTGGGCTGGAGCAGCTACGGCCCCGAGGGACCAGGTGTGTGTGTGTGTGTGCATTTGTGTGTGAATGTGTGTGTGAGTGAAAGTGCAAAAAAAGTATTTGATTTAATTACAATCTGCTGGCATATGGAACTACAGTATTTATTACCTAGTAACAGTATAGATAGTAACAGTATTCATATTGACAGTGTGTATTGTTGTACTGTGTTCCAGGAACCACCTGTTCAGTGGACTGGAGGACCCAGACACCGAACAACATCTCCTACATCTTCTCTTTGTTCACCTTCTGTCTGTTACTGCCTTTCTCTGTCATACTGTACAGCTATAGCAAGCTGCTCAGCGCTATCAAACAGGTAACTAACCCCTGACCTCTGACCTCTTCTAACTCTTCACTTAGTTGACAGTTTAGAGAGTTGAGTTTAGATATAATGCCTGGGGATGGTGTAACCGCAGCCAGGTTGCTCAAGATCCACTGCAAAATTCGACGTCCGTCCAGGTAAACAGGATTTCGGGAGATGAGTTCTAAACCAGCCACTAGGGCCAACGGTGAGTGCTATTACCATCACGTAAGCTTGGGTTTTGCTAGGGAATTGTGGACAGGGATGGCAGATGGGTGTAAGCCGTGAGCACCGGCTCCGAGGGTCGCCTGTTCAATCCCAGTGCTAGGCACAATTTGTTTTTGTTTTTTTACCCTCTCCCAAACCTTAACCCATAACTTAACCATTCGGAATCAATGCCAAACTTAACCTTCGAAATTGGACGTTTATGGACAAACGTGGGATTCTGCAGTGAGACTGTGAGAGCTTGTTGTTAACCATTGGTACCAGCAGCACATATACTGTACTCTCCCATGTCTGCATGGGATCCAATCCAAGTCTCTCCTCACGTTCCTGTCTCTTCTCTATAGTCTTATCTGTTTAATAAAATACATCATACAAAATACAATAAGTGGGATCGCCATACTCTTATTAAAGAGTCTAGAGCTTAGAAAGTTATGTTTAGAGATTAGAGAGTTTAGTTTTAGAGTTTAAAGTTACAATGTCTCGATTAGAGGAGAGTACAGGAAGCAGTAATTAGAGGATTCCTGGGGATTGAGGTTGTTAGTGAGACTTTTGAGGATAATCATTAACACACACACACACACACACCTAATTCTAACCCTAAACCTAACCCCTAGGCCTAAAATAGCCTTTTTACAAGTGAGGACCGGCAAAATGTCCTCACTTCTTCTCTGAATTTTAGTTGGTTTACAATTCTTGTGAGGAGTTCTGGTACTCACAAGTATAGTAAAACGTGAACACACACACGCAGTCTTGATTCAACTTGGCAGAGTAAATTATCTTTGCTAAAGTACAATAGGAACCTAGCTTGATGCCAGTCTGTATGTGTGTGTGTGTGTGTGTGTGTATGTGTGTGTGTGTGTGTATGTGTGTGTGTGTGTGTTTGTCATCCCTCCAGGTGAGCAGTGTGAGCTCAGTGGTGACCCGTCATCGTGAGCAACGTGTGTTGGTGATGGTGGTAACCATGGTAGCGTGTTACCTGTTGTGTTGGCTGCCCTACGGTGTAGCGGCCCTGCTGGCAACCTTTGGCCCCCGCAACCTTTTGACTCCTGAGGTCACCATCGCCCCCTCGCTGTTGGCCAAGACATCGACAGTCATCAACCCTGTTATATACATCTACATGAACAGACAGGTACACACACACATGCACACACACGCACACACACAGACACACTGTACCCCTGTTTGGCGTTGTCAGTCTTCAGTTCCTCCCAACCGTATCCATGGTGACATTGAGTTGAGGTGAGCTGAAGACCTAAAAGGCTGCACAGACTGCCACAGAGAATGTGTTGTCTCTAAAACAACCTGCAACCTGCCACCAAAGATAAACGTGCCTTTTTGCACGCACTGATTCAAAACGCTGTAGAGAAGCAGATAGATGAAAACATCCCAGCAAACACACAACCACCACACAACGTTGCCTCAAAGTTGCCATCTGATTTCTCCTGGGTAAATGTAGTGGACCAGAAGTATACGTGTGGAACTGGAGAGTATACTAAGTACACTATGTTTATCCAGGTGATATACACCCTGCTGTGTGTTGTGTGTGTATGCTGCATGTGTTAGTGTATGTAGTGTGTATGTGTGTGCGTGTGTCAGTGAGAGAAAGAGAGAAAGAGAGAGAGAGAGAGAGAGAGAGAGAGAGAGAGAGAGGGGGGGGGGGTGAGGGAGGTGTGTACTTGGGTGATACAATGTTGCTAGATTGAGTTTGATTTGAAAACCCTGCATTAGCATAATATAATCACTTGCACTGATCTAAGCATCCACAACCGCCCCTCAAACACACACTGTTCTTTGCTCTGACCCTTTGATTTGACACTGAGATCAGTTATCAATGCTGTAATCAATGTGTGTGTGTGTGTGTCTATGTGTGTGAGAGTGTGTGTGTGTGTGTGTGTGTGTGTGTGTGTGTGTGTGTGTGTGTGTGTGTGTAGTTCTACAGGTGTTTCAAGGCTATGCTGAGGTGTTCTGCTCCTGACCGAAGCTACAGTTTGAAGACCTCTTCGCGAGTGACCAAAACACTCCGGACCATTCGCCATGGAAACGGACACAACGTGACGGTTGTCGTGGTGTCTGTAGGCCCGCCCACTCCGAAGGTCTCTGCCAACGGTTCCTCAGCGGAATCGAATGACCAGCCACTGTCACCTCCCAAAACCACTCCCCCTGTCCAAATCACTTCCACTGGCCAAACCACTCCCCCTGTCCAAATCACTCCCACTGGCCAAACCAATCCCCCTGTCTCAACCATGCCCACTTTCACACCCAAACCAAAACTGGCCTTGGTAGCTCACTACAACGGATAGAGAGTGAAAGGCTATGTGTGTTCCCCAGAAACAATGTATGTTTCAGTAGTAAGACTAAGAAGTGGAGACTAGTCGTCTTGACTTCTTTCTTATCTCATTCTCGTTGGCACCAAAAGTAAAAAAAAAAGTGTTGATAGGGGACAGAATGCGGTCGGACCATCATATAATAGGCATATACATTACTCTTACTGAATTTCCACGTGGGCAAGGATATTGGAAATGTAATCAAAGCCTATTGGATGATAATTTATTTATAATTAGAACAAAGGAATTTATAACTGACTTTTTCCAACATAACATAGATACAGCGAATCCCCTTATTGTATGGGACACCTTTAAATGTGCCTTTAGAGGCCATGCAATTCAGTACTCATCTCGAAAACAAAAGCAATTTAGGTCAAAAGAGTTTATACTAAGAAAGGAAATAGAAAGTCTAACAGAACAGATAGATGGCAATAAAAACTGTAACATAGAGGCTCAGAATAAATTAGAGGAAAAACAAAAAGAAATTGAGAAACTTATTCAAGAAAGATCAAGTGTAATATATTATAAAAATAAAGCAAACTGGATGTAATATGGGGAAAAATTCACAAAATTATTTTTTAATCTTCAACATAGGAATGCTACCAAAAAGAACTTAATGAGACTGGTTACAATTGACGGAGTCACCCATAATTCACCAAATGATATTTTGAAGGAAGAAACAAAGTACTTTAAGCATATGTTTTCTTTTCAGTCGCCTCCATCTCCTCTAACTGAAGCTAATTGTAGAGATTTTTTTCTATTGATAATGTCAAATGAACAGCCACACAGAAAGACTCATGTGAAGGTGAAATTACAGAGGAGGAACTTCTGGATGCAATTAAAGACATTAAGTCTGGGAAAACTCCAGGGTTGGATGGCATACCAGTCGAGGTATACCAAACCTTTTTTGATATACTAAGAGGACCGTTATTAGCATGTTTTAACCACTCCTATGTAAATGGTAGATTATCTGACACTCAAGAAGAAGGTCTGATGTCATTATTACTGAAACAGGATACAAGTGGAAAATATAAAGATCCAGTCCATTTACAAAATTGGAGGCCCCTTACACTTCAGTGTTGTGATGCAAAAATCCTAGCAAAATGTATAGCGCATAGAATTAAAAAGGTATTGTCAGATATTATTCATTCTAATCAGACAGGTTTTTTTACATGGAAGATACATTGGAGATAATATAAGGCAAGTATTGGAAACAATAGAACACTATGGAAAATATGGGAAACCAGGCCTGCTATTCATAGCAGACTTCGAAAAGGCATTTGATAAAGTTCGACTGGGGTTTATATATAAATGCCTGGAGCATTTCAATTTTGGAGAATCTCTTATAAAATTGGTCAAAATCATGTATAGTAACCCTAGGTGTAAAATAGTAAATAATGGCTATTTCTCAGAAAGTTTTAAACTGTCAAGAGGAGTGAAACAAGGTTGTCCTCTATCGGCATATCTATTTATTGTGGCCATCGAGATGTTAGCTATTAAAATCAGATCCAATAATAATATCAGAGGATTAGAAATCCAGGGCTTAAAAACAAAGGTGTCATTGTACGCTGATGATTCATGTTTTCTTTTAAATCCACAACTAGAATCCCTCCACAGCCTCATAGAGGATCTAGATACATTTTCTAACCTCTCTGGATTACAACCAAATTATGACAAATGTACTATATTACGTATTGGATCACTAAAAAATACAATTTTTACATTACCATGTAGTTTACCAATAAAATGGTCTGATGGTGATGTGGATATACTCGGAATACATATCCCAAAGGAAATAAATGATCTCACTTCAATCAATTTTAATAGAAAGTTAGCAAAAATAGATAAGATCTTACTACCATGGAAAGGAAAATACCTGTCAATTTGTGGAAAAATCACCCTGATTAACTCTTTAGTATTATCCCAGTTTACCTATTTGCTTATGGTCTTGCCTACACCTAGCGAACAGTTTTTTAAATTATATGAGAAAAAAATATTCAATTTTATTTGGAACGGCAAGCCAGACAAAATTAAAAGGGCATATTTATATAATGAATATGAATTCGGAGGACAGAAATTATTAAATATTAAAGCATTAGACCTATCACTAAAAGCTTCAGTCATACAAAAGGTATACTTAAATCCGGACTGGTTCTCAAGCAAATTAGTTAGGGTTAGGGTTAGGGTTAGATATATACAAATACTTATTTTCCACCATAATTTGCAAATAAATTCATAAAAAATCCTACAATGTGATTTTCTGGATTTTTTTCCCTCATTTTGTCTGTCATAGTTGACGTGTACCTATGATGAAAATTACAGGCCTCTCTCATCTTTTTAAGTGGGAGAACTTGCACAATTGGTGGCTGACTAAATACTTTTTTCCCCCACTGTATATAGGTTGTATGTTGGGAGCTTTTGGGAAAGAGCACAGTTAGAAAGATATGGCATATAGAAGCAAACCGGATGGACATCATGAAAATTATCGGAGAGGTTGAGAGTAGAAGAAGTTCAGGAGCAAAAAAAATAAAATAAATATATATATATATATATATATATATATATAATAGAATTATTGTAAAATTAACTGTGTCCATAAGGTGTAGATAGTAAGTATAGACCGGAAGTAGAGGCCTGGGCATTGTTGTTCACTAATTTACTCCAAGTAGGGAAAGGATGGCGGGGTTGAAAAGTAATAAAGGGGAGTATATATATAAAAAACATGGGGGATTGGAAGTGATGCAGACAATTACATTGATAGAAGATACAATCTATCTGCAATATTAAGCTGATCCACCCCCCCCCCCCCCCCCCCCCCCCCCCCAAAAAAAAATATAAAAAAATAAAAAAAAATACAAAATAAAATAATTGTATTTATCTTCCTGGAGTAGTGATTTGAAGCTGTGCAGTACGTGGTTTTGTTCTTATCAATGTGATTGATCAGAGGTCTGATAGATCTGTTGGAGGTGAGGATAAAGTCCCCAGGTGTCTTACTGTAATCACTTTCGTTGATCACAGTCACACACACACACACACACACACACACACACACACACACACACACACACACACACACACACACACACAAACAGTAACCAGTGGAATCATTTGTAAATTCATTGTTGATTCCATCAATGATGGTCAGGTCAGGAGCATTGTTGCTGGGTAAACTGATCATTGCATTGCGGACAGTAAGCCCTAGTTCAAACAGGGCTCTTATCACCACACCGAATGAAAAAATAAGTGACTTTCTCTTTGGAAGAGCTGGGATAGAGTGCAGTCTGAAACTATAGAGTGCGCCTCTGCCGCTCTTTCGGCGCAGTGCGGGTGAAGCACGCGCCTCTGTTTCATGCAACACGCCAGTGCAGTTCTTTCGCTGTCGGGAGAAATGGTAATGCATGTTGATATATGTTAATTGCATGCAAATAAAGGTTGTTTCGATACCACACCCACACCCGAAGCAAAACCATGTCCTCAGATTCGCAGGTGGACGATTTCTGTGAGGAGGGGAGCAGCTCAACTACTTTATAGAGATATCTGAAACACAGTTCCCAATAAGGCTACAGTATTCATCACAGCATAGGCTATCCAATCATTTCAGATATTACAGAAAGGCTACTTAACAAGACTCTTCGTGATTCCTTAGTAAAAGGGAGTTATTACATCTTAAGACACGTTACTTTAACCAAGACACATTAAACCGATCATATTCACTGTTTAAAACATTATCTTCCGTGCTGTACAGGTGTGTGAACCGTCTTTCTTTGTATTTTTTGTGCAAGAAACTTTGTGGTTTCTTTAAAGTTGTGGTTTCTTTAATGTTGTCGTTTCTTTAACGTTGTGGTTTCTTTAACACAAGAGGTCGCATGATAATGCTTCATATGAATCTAAAAATGAAAAAGAAGAAGAACTTGTAATCGTTCTTGGCACAATTCACCTGCCTGGTTTGTTTCCTGTTGTATTGGTGTGTCTGTGCCACATCATATGTTGATGTTAGGCTGTGTATCTTATTTATTTATTTTTGTCTCGTCTGAATAAATAAACAACATATATATAAAAAATATCGCTGTTATGCCTGATTTCGACCCAAAACCAACAAGGAAGTCTGCAGTGTTGAGAGCTGTTGAGAGCTGAAACCAACCGGTACCTCAAGCAAAGCTCTCAACCGTACTAGCCCGCTCTTAATTTCTATTCAGTTCAACTCGCCATATGTTCTGAGTCCGAACTGTGCATAAGCTGATCCTAGATCTGTGGCTATGAGCAACTTCAAAATAGTCTCTCTAGAGTCTAGACCAAAGGGTTGCCTCCCACAATGTTCCAATGTTCCAGTTTACAATGTATGCTTCAGGAGGCTGCTGGGGGGAGAACGGCTCATAATAATGGCCGGAACGAAGCATATGGAATGGCATCAAACGTCCTAATATTTATATATTTCTTAATTCCATTATTTTACTTTTAGATTTGTGTGTATTGTGTGTATTGGGTGAATTGTTAGATATTACTGCACTGTTGGAGCTAGAAACACAAGCATTTTGCTACACCCGCAATAACATCTGCTAAATATGTGTATGTGACCAATCAAATTTGATTTGATTTGATTTGGAAACCATGTGTTTGATGTATTTGATACCATTCCACTAATTCCGCTCCAGTCATTACCAGGAGCCCGTTCTCCCCAATTAAGATGCCACCAACCTCCTGTGACATATGCATGCAATGTTAGTTTGGCATAGAGGAAAAGGCGGAGTTGGGTCATCTGACTTTCTTACATCACTGCCTTAGTGGCCATAGTGTAAACATTCCCCGGATTCAAAATAGTAGCTAGCAAGATGGAGATCACAGAGGTTATTTCTAATGAGTGCATTTCGCAAGTGGCTAGTTTGCATCAACCACCTTCCCTAAAACCACCGCAAAGATTTTGCCTGCAAACTTTGTTTTTGAATCGCAACGTTCGGCCGTGTTTGCCTCGTGATTTA